GTTATCCCTCACGGGTTCGGGTGCTTTAAAAGGTTCCTGTAAGGGTTCCGATAAGGGGACTCGTTAAGGGTTTCTTAAAGGCATCCTTTACATGGTTCCTTTTGGATGCTATGTGGGTTTAAGGTTCCAAGGTTCAGGGGTTCAGGGTTTCGGGGTTTTCAGTGTTTAGGCCTAGTGGTTTTCAGGGTTTGGGCGGTTTAAGGTTTAGGGTCCGATGTGAGGGACGTAGTCTAGTTTACCATGACAATGCTGTTGAGAAGCAATGCTTCCATTACCATAACAAGGAATGCAGGCCATACTGGTTGTCCACACTTAGCTGACTCAAACAACAAAACCTCAAAACCATCTGAGCCTATTACTTCTAACACCCTGACTGACTCCCCCCAAGAAGCCACAGAACTAAAAGGTTAAACTTTCCGATTCCTACTAAACTATAAGAACCCAAAAAGTTTAAAGGTTAGGTACTGGGGATCTCAGCTGATTTACGAAGCCTAGAAAACCCTGAAGACAGACCCAGCCTTCCGGAAGCGCCGAAGAGACCGGGCTCACTTGCCCAGGAGATCCACAAACGGCTACATGCACGAAAGAGAAAAGGGTTTGGGGCCCCACTATAGATTACTTAAAAAAAGGAACCCGCCAAAAAATAGTATAGGTAGTTATTGAGGTTTTGGGGCCCATTATAGACTAATTATAAAAAGACCCCCCAAAAAATAGTATAGGTAGTTATTGAGGCCCTGATGCTTCGGCGCATGAGGCCGCATGGAAAACTTAGGAGTTTTCAGATCAGGGCAACCTTGAGCCGGAATAACCTACCGTTTTAAGTACTTATATAAGGAACCCTAAAAGGTAGGTTATTCCGGCTTAAGGAAGGGTTCAGGGTGTAGGCCTGGGAGAGGTCATCGGAAGCCCTCACTACGGTTGATGATATAAATCCTGCATTATTATTGTAAGGACCCTCAACTATGGGTATTATGGTATATTCCCTATTATGGGTAGTGCAGGATTTATATCATCAACCGTAGCATGTAACACAAGACGCGCTTCAACGCAGACCAAGCCCCAAACTCATGAACCCTAGGTCCTCAGCAATGGAATCTACAGCAAGCATCTGAATATATGCCATAAGATGTAAGGCTCAAGTCTTTACGCACTAGCCCTACAACGTACATGTTCTCATTCTCGGTATCTCTGGATGCCTAAGTGTCAGTCGCTCTGTCTCTCTCTCTCTCTCTCTCTCTCTCTCTCGCGCTCCCTCTCTGTCTCTGTTTACCTGTCGACCTACCTAAAGCGGAAATGCCTGCATGTGAAAGAAAGTCGCACAAGGTTTTGAGGTTTTGTGTCGTTTGCCAATCGATGGATAATAACATGCAGCACTACCGGCTACCATCAAACAGCTCGAGGTATAGCACAGATTGCAGATGTCAATATTCCTCGGAATTGCAAGGATGGGGTACTCACAAATAAAGCACCAACCGCCCTAGACCTGAAACCTAAACCCCGGACCTTATCGACACCCTTGGTCGCAGATCTTTTCTGTCTAGGCTACTTTCACTTCGGGGTCCCTGTATCGCAGCACAGAAATAAGTTAGGCACACAATCCTACACCCTAAACTCCTACGTATCCGAAACCCTGAAAACAACTCCCAAACCCCATTATACTTAAACGCTAACCCCCACAATCCGCAACCGTAAACACTGGACCCTAAAACAGAAGACCCCAAAAAGCCAGAAAAAAAACCCCTCACAAAAGAACCCCGAAACCCTAAACCCGAAAGATCCTGAAACCCCTTAAAAGGAAGCCTGAACCCTGAATCCCCAAAGCCCAAAGAAGGGTTTAGGGTTTAGGGTTTAGGGTTTAGGGTTTAGGGGCTCCCTCGGTCCCAAGCCCGCCCAATGAAGAGGTCCAACCGCGCAACCACGTCAAACCTAAGTTGGCGCAGGGGTTCAAGGCCTTCCTACAGTCTCTTTAGGGTTTAGGGTTTAGGCTTCAGGGTTTAGGGTTTGGGCTTTAGGGTTTAGGTTTTAGGGTTCAGGGTTTAGGGTTTGGGCTTTAGGGTTTAGGCTTTGGGGTTGAGGCTTTGGGGTTTAGGGTCTCCATTCTAACCCCTTCTTTGGTAAACCACCATTATGGTTAAGACCTGGGTTGGCTCACGGGTCAGGGCCTCCTTACCTTTTGTGGGTTCCTTTAAGGCTTCCTTTCTGGGCTCCTTTAAAAGGTCCTTCGAGGCCTGCCTACAGTCTCCATTTTAGTTCCTTGCATGGCTAAGCAATCTTATGGTTAGGATCCGATAGTTTGAATTGGGTTGGCCAAAAAAGGAACTACGATGGAGACTATAGGTATAGTACGAGGGAGCACAAGGGCATAGAGTTCAAGGCTTGGGATCATAGCACAGGGAATAAATGGTTCAAGGTTAATTTTAAGGGTTCAGAGCAATCTTTGTCGAGGTTTAGGGTTTAGGATTTCGCAGCTTAGCATGAGGTATTGCCCCTGTTTTCTTGTGCGTGCCCATTCGCGTTGAGGGTTTGTAGTGTACTTAGTAAACTTAAACTTTAGAAGCGCGGAGGGCATGGCATCTGCTGCTTGTGGACTTCGGGGCGTAAGGTTGCAAGTTTTGAAAACTCGTAGCACCTAAGGCCCCAAAGTAGTTCCTTTTTGGGGCTCGTATAAAGAATCCTATAAGGTAATCCCCGAAAGGAGCTACTTTGGGGCCTTAGGGAAGTCTAGACTATACTATACTGTGCTGCACTAGACGATACTACACTGTACTATACTAGGTTGAGGAGGTTGTTCAAGTGGACAGGTATGCTGCAATGCTGGTATCCAAGGTTGAGGGCATAGGCACCTACACTGTGCGCACGAACAGAAAAAGACAGACGAAGAACGGTTGATGATATAAATCCTGCATTTCCCATAACTAGAAATTTGCCATAATTCCCATAGTTTAGGGGCATTAAAGTAATGCAAGGTTTATATCATCAACCGAAGCAAACGGACGGGCCGGTGGATGGACACATTGACCAGGCTTGGGGGTGAAAAAGGTCTTTGGTTTTTAAAGTGTAGTGGCTCCCTTTCTAGGGTATAAGGTCTAGGGATTGTACTATATACTGTGGCAGCTCCTTAGTGAAACAGAAACCGCTTCGATAAGGCTTAGATTCCTTAGATGGGAGTTTCCGAAAATAGGCACCCGAATACAGCATATTAGTGGGATCCTTATTATAAGGACCCCAACATAGGGTACCCCTAACTTTCGGAATTTCTAAACCGCTTCTAGAGCCCTTTAAAGGAACCCTTATAGTACTCTTACCGTAGCCCTCTAAAGGAACCCCAAGGTACCCCGAAGTTGCGCAAACTCCCAGACTGTCACTGTACTGAACTTAGAACCCTGGCAACAAATGTAATTTTAGCTGTTTCTTAGGGATTATAATAACCAAAAATTAAAAAAATATTTCTCAGTACCCCTAAGTGTCGCCCAGTCACTCTGGCAACTGCTGCGCCATGCGATGGCTGCAGCACAGGAGGAAGGCTAGGCAACAGCTCAGGAACTTAAGCGCGGGCCCTCCCTCCACGTTTAGGGCTTAGGGATTTTATGAAGTGTGAATGAAGACAGTAGAAGATGTTCATGAACAATGCTTTAAGGATTTATGTAATCTGCTGCAAAGCCGACATGCCTCCGGTTCTGCGCTTCAGCTAAAGTCTGCAGATCTAAGAGTCGGGCATGGCTTCCTTTGCAAGCCAATGCAACAACTTCAACTGCGCTCGAAACTCTTGCATGCGAAGACGTCGAGGTCAGCTTAAACTCTAAACCACGCAACCCTGATCCTAAAATTTAAACAAAGCTGGAAAGCATCTGCAGACGAAGATGGACGAAACGACTGCTAGACACCGATATCCCTCATGTCCCGAAAATTCCTTGAGTTTTTGAAGCCCTTAACCTAGGGCTCGAAGTATACAAATAGCAATTACCTACTTTGGAATCTAAAGTCTATGTTCGTGCCTACTTTGAGATATTTGGAGCCCCAGGGTTAGTCCTAATTCACGAGCTCTGCTTGTCAACTTGAGCCTTTTCTTCTCTGTGCTCGCGCTGGATGGTCCCCGTAAGAGTTCTGGCACGCCCTTGCACCCGCATCCGGGCCAGGTTAGGGTTTATTGTTCAGGGCTTAGGGTCTACCTAGAGGCTCATACCCTACCCCTTTTTTAGGGCGCCTACTTTTTAAGATAACAGATCCTAACCATAAAACTAGGTATCCTAAAAAAGGGGTAGGGTATGAGCCTCTAGGTAGGGATCAACTTTGAACTGCTAGGGTTTAGGGCTGGTACCGGGGCCTGCAAGAGCAGAATCATCATGGGTTGGCACGGGAAAGGAGTTGGTCTATAGTATAGCGGAGCCAAGCCCTACACCCTAAAACCTCCGAAGATGCCAGCAAAACCGGAAACCATAAACTCCTTTGGAAATGGCGAGCACTTAGTTGATGCATGTAGAAAGGGCAGGGTTTCACGTGAAGCGTGAAGGGCTCTACTCCAACAGCCTACATCTCTAAAAGATGCACTTAGCATGTGGAACTCTACAGTAAAGGGCTTAGGCTGTTTGGCGTAGGAACGTCGGGGTTTACGGTTTATACGGCTTCGGGCTTAAGGTTTGCACTGGGCCCCGTCTGTTGCCCTCAGCCGAACCCGAGGTTGACTACACATAAAGAACCATAATCAGGCCCGTTTTGGGAACTCTCTTACTCAATGCCTTATTGAGCCCTAGAAACTTTGACAACCCTAAAAGGTAGAGGTCAGCTCAATGTAATCTGTAGCCTGCGGCCCCTGAACATGTCAACCCGATTCTGTGGGCCTATTCTGTGGGCGCTAAACCCCACCCAGAGACTCCAAAACCCTTTAATTAAGGAATATACCTTAGATCATATTAGGGATCCTACTATAATTTACCTTAATAAAAGGGTTTAGGAGGCTCTGGGTATGGAACCCGAGACAAGCGCGAAGCACTCACTTGAGCCTATGTGCACTGCAGGCGGCAGCCCCATGCGGTGTAGATCTGTCAGGTTAGCACGCAGGTCCAGGTCATCAGTTAGAGTATGGTTGCGGCAAACAGGGGGAGGTTCCTCTTCGGTGTTCTTGTTCAGGCGGAGTACTACTACCTTTTACCCATGGCTGTGCACTCTACCCATAGGGCAGACAGACGGCATAGAGAACCCCCAAAACCCTTCAAGACTAAGCTAAAACCTAGGCCAACAACCCTATTATTATAAACCCGCACCCAACTGTCCGAAACCCAAACCCGAGAACCCTAAATCCTAAGCCCTTTTTTTGCACGTTTATAGAACCCTTAAACCCTCAAAACAACCCTTAAACCCTCAACCTTAAAACCCGAAACGCCTAAACCCCTAAACACTACCCTAAACCCCTAAACCCTACTAAACCCTCCGAAACCCTCCTAAACCCCTGAACCCCTAAACCCTACTAAAGCCCTAAACCCCTAAACCCTACTAAAGCCCTAAACCCTAAACTAAAGTTTAAAGGCCTCGAAACCCCAGAAAAGTCGGCCTCGAGGCAGATCCCGAGCATCCCAAGAGTGCCGAGGAAAAAGCTGCCACCGAGGAGCAGCGCCGCAGCTTTCTGCGGAGAGCAGGGGGAAAATTCCCTAAACCCTAAACCCTATAGATCCCTTAAAGGACCACAGGAACCCTTAGAGGATCCCTTTAAAGGAACCCTGAGGTACCCCTACTTTTAGGGTTCAGGGTTTAGAGTTTAGGGTTTAGGGATCTATAGGATTGTTTATGGCTCCCTAGAGGGTTACGGGTTTAGGGTCTTGGGGGTTTAGGGTTTAGGGCTTATAGGCTTTAGGGGGTTCTTCAAGGGCTCCCTTTAGGGTTCTGTAGGGTTCTATCAAGGTTCCTTTAAGGAGCAGCGCCGCAGCTTTCTGGGGAGTTTTGGGGGATCTATAGGATTTAGGCTTTAGGGTATAGGGTTTACAGGGTTTAGGGTAGGGTTTATAGGGTTTAGGGATCTTTAGGGCTTGGGGTATAGGTTTCAGGGCTTAGGGTTTAGGGATCTCCAAGTTACTTTAAGGGTTCCTTTCAGGGATCTGTAGGGTTCTACAAGGTGTCGGGCTTTCAGGGTTTAGGAGTTTCGGGGTCTAGGGCTTTAGGTGTTTAGGTCTTGAAGCTTTTTGGGTTTTAGGGCTTGTGGCCTTGTATGGTTTAGGGTTTAGGGTTGTTTGGGGCTTAGGGCTTTGCAGGGGTTAGGGTTCGAGAGCACTGTTTGAGGACTACCAAGACCCCCGGATTTATAGGTCTTAAGGCTTCTAGGGTTCAGGGGCTTTCCTGCAGCTTCTGGGCTTTGAAGCCAGATCCCCTCTTGAAATCTGCCTCGCTTCCTGCAAGTCTTAAACCCTTGTAGAACCCTTAGTAGAAACTTGAAAGAAGCTTTATGAAACCTTCTGGAACCCATAGCCCTAAGGGTCAAGTACCCAATAAATAAATACTTTGGTCCAGAGTACCTAAAAAAAAGCGATTGGGGATTACTTCAAGGCCAAAGTAATCATATACCTATAGTCTGCATTGTGGTTCCTTTTTTGGTTAACCAGCTTTATGGCTAGGATCCTATAACACAGTTTTTTGTTAACCAAAAAAAGGAACTACAATGGAGACTATAGGTAGCATTTGGGCACTTGGACTCTTAGGGTAAAGGAGCCCTAAACCCTAAACCCTAAACCCTTATAGGGTAAAGGAGCCCCTCATCTCCCAATTGCAAGCACCTTCTCCGCAACGAGGATCCGGAGCTTTGCCGTGAGGGGGAGGGCGTGGAAGGCAGCGACAGCACCAGCTCGGCGCTCCTGTCACCGTTTAGGGTTTGCTTTTTTTTTTTAAGTGCAGTGGCCTCCTTTGGGTTTGGGTTTTTTTTTAAAGTGCATTGACGTCCTTTCGCCCGCCTCACTCGAGGAGGGTTTGGGGTTTAGAGTCCACGGTTTCGGGTTCAGGGCCGACTTAGGGTTTAGGGTCTTGGGCTTCAGGGCTTCGGAGCCTGAGGGTTTGGAGCTTAGGGTCTCATTCTTCGAGCTTTGGGGGTTATACGGCTGATGATATAAATCCTGCATTACCCATAATAAGGAATCTACCATAATCCCCATAGTTTAGGGTCCTTAAGGTAATGCAGGATTTATATCATCCACCGTACTTCGACATCTTTGGGTCTGGGTGCATTTTGGGGGGCTTTGGGGCTTGAGGAGGTCGGCCCTGTGGTTCCCCAAAGGCTCCATGTACCTTTATGGTAGGTACTTCAGCCTTAAAAGGGGTCCCTATATGGGTACTCTAAGGCCTGCCCAGAGGCCCCAAAGTAGTTCCTTTTTGGGATTACCTTATAGAACTCTATATATGGACCCCAAAAAGGAACTACTTTGGCGCCTTTGGGTAAGTATATACTATATGGGTACATTGAGCCTTAAGGTTCAAGGGTTCCAGACTTCGATCTCCACGGTCTTTCCTGGCTTCGTCTTCCGGATTGCAGAGATACCGTAAACCCTGTATACTGAAAGGGTCATGGGACTTAGCACCTAAGGTTATTATTAGGGTAACTATACTTATAACTACTGGGGTCTTAGGGTTACTTAAAGGATCATGGGACTTAGTAACTATAGGGTTCTTTAAAGGGCTCCTTCAAAAGGGATCTATATGGGTTCTATAAGAGGGGCCTTAGGGCTACTTAAAGGATCATGGGACTTAGTAACTAAGGTTATTATTAGGGTAACTATACTTGTAACTACTTATAACCCCAATTAAGGTACATATAACCTGACTTACTAAGTCCCATGATCCTCCGAGTAAGCCCGCAACCAGTAAGACTTGGGATCGGGATTAATGTTTACTAAACCCTAAACCCTAAATCCCTAAACCCTAAACCCCTAAACCCTGACACACTTGGCTTGACAACCCCAGCACCCGTGTTTTCTCAGGGCGACTCCTCAGCTGAGCCCTTGTTTGCATCTGCGCCATCGGCCGCCTCACAAGCCCAAAGGCTCCATGTACCCATCTAGTAGGTACTTAGGCCCTAAAGTACCCATATAGTGACCCCTTTAAGGCCAAAGTACCTACTATATGGGTAGATGGAGCCTTGGGGAAGCAACAGAATGGAGCTTCCTAAAAAAAAAAACCATGGGGCTACTCGGAGGCTCTACCGATGCAGTTCTTACTTGTAGTGTCCTTAAAGTACGGGCTCTTGCAGTGGCAGGGTCTGCACCAGCACCACAAAACCCTAAATCCCTATAGACCCCTTTAAAGGAACCCTATAACCCTACTTACAAATAGCCCATGAACCTCCAAGTACCTAGAGGCTCATACCCTACCCCTTTTTTAGGATACCTAGTTTTATGGTTAGGATCTGTTATCTTAGAAAGTAGGCGCCCTAAAAAAGGGGTAGGGTATGAGCCTCCAGGTAATGCTACGGCTAACCTTACTTACTAAGTCCCATGATCCCCATTATAGAACCCTATAGTACCCTTTTAAAAGGAACCCTAAACCTTATACTTACTAAGTCCCATGATCCTCCAAGTCTCTGACCCAGAAACGACCATAACTCTGAGGCTTCCCCGCGTTCTTCGGCTTGCTGCTTTGGGTGTGCTTGGAGGATCATGGGACTTAGTAAGTATAAGCTTTAGGGTTCCTTTTAAAAGGGTACTATAGGGTTCTATAATGGGGATCATGGGACTTAGTAAGTAAGGTTATGAGTACCTTAATTGCGGTTATAAGTAGCTATAAGTAGAGCTACCCTAGTAATAACCATAGTTACCAAGTCCGCTGATCCTTTAAGTGGGGTGTATGTTTCAGGTCTCAAGGCTGCTGTTGAGAGCTTCGGTCAAACATACCTAGAACTCCAAAACGGAAGCCAAAGTTCACGCCAAGTCCAGAAGCAGCTCGAAACCCGTGAACCCCGTAGCCCCTGAATTCCGACCCTAAACCCCTAAACCCTAAACGGCCTTACATCCTAAATCCCGAGCCCTAAACCCGTAAACCCCTAAACCCTAAACGGCCCTAAACGTTACGACCGAGCCTTCTGCACCCGGCCGATAGCATCCTCCCAGTTGCAGCTCGAGGAGACGCGGATTGCAGGTTCATTGGGTTATGTGGGATTAGGATAAAGGGGTTCAGGGTATATGGTTTGGGTTTTAGGATTTAGGATTTTAGGGTTGAGGTTGCAGGCTTTTTTGTTTTAACGCCTTTTTCCACCTGCAACAGATGAAATCCCTCCAGGCTTTAGGGCTTAGGGTGTTAGGGTTTAGGAGTTTAGGGTTTCACAGGCATATGATATGGATCGACGGGTTTTACAAAGTCCCGGACAAGTGTCAAGTCTCGATGGACCTGCACAGACACCAATTCATGTTGAGGTCGCTAGGCATCATGTTGTATCCTGGACTTGGTCTCGTCCAACACCCGCTGTAAACATGTCCACTGTCCTTAAGCCACTGTCTGAACTTATGCATTCATGCATGTGCCATTCAGAACAGGTGGTGACATGCCGAATTGAACTCATAATGCTTCTTTACAGCTTCCTTGCCTTCTGCTAGTGTCGGCTATGACCGTCGTGAGGTGTATCAGCATGAGACAGCTCTTTCCAGACTCTAACAAACATAACTTGAAAATTCCACCCCTGTGCGGCTGCGGGGTAGTAGAGGTAGAAAAGCTATCGAGGTTCGGTCAAAATGGGCTTCCAAGCTGTGAGTAAAATAAGCCAGAATCCGAAAATATTGCACCCGCACGGACGGCTGCGATGGATCAAGAGCTCCCACTTTGCCCCAAGCTTCAACCCGAAACCCTAAAACTCTAAGCTTCATCAAAAAGAAGCCTGGGCTCATTTAGGCCCAGAGCCCTGTCAACCCTCAACGGCGTCCTCGGCCGCAATCTTCAGTGCAGACAAGGCCTTGCGATCCTCCCCACTTCGCCGCCTTTCAGCCGATCTTCACGTTCAGGGTTTAGGGGAGGTTACGGCTTCCTTATCCATCTTTCGAAGGGTTTAGGGTTTAGGCTTCCCTCTTCCGAACTAGGGCCGCGGGCCGCTACAACTAGGGCTCTTGACTATGTTCACCTACGGTTGAGGGGATAGGGCATCTATCTTCGTGGTGCTAATGCTAACAGTGTATGTTGTGATGAGCAGGAATCGTTTGAGGTTTTTGATGATGCGAACTACGGCTATCCGGAGCACTTTGTTGTTGAACATGTTCTTGCATCAAGATGCTTTCAGTGACCCTGATGATGGCTCCGTCATTGTTCAATCGTCGTGGTAGCAGTCGTTTTTTTCAGGAAATAGTCTTAACAATGAACACAGAAGTCTAGTCTCGTTCGTCGTCCTACGTAGTGACGTAGTTGTGCCTAGTGCAAAATCCTCCAAGCAAACTCGCCAGCGGCTCATGCGGGGAGTTCGGGACCCCGCTCCCCAACGCGAGGCGTCTGCAGGAAGTTGAAGAGAAGCCCCTATCTATAGTCTCCTTTTTATTTCTTCTTTGGTTTAACCAACGGTTAGGATAACCACAATGGAGGCTATACGTATGTCGTAGTTTGGAGATGATCCTCCGACCAGTTCCCAGACAAGGCAAAGTCCCAATGCAGCACTGAAGCAAAATCTCCAAGAATTCTACAAACCCTTAGAAAGTCTATCCTATAAGCCCTAACAGACCCTATGAGACCCGGCGAACGCTAAAGCCCCTAAGCCGCACTTTGCACTCCTCCGTGAGTCGTTGAAGGCAGCACGAATCTCGGCTAGACCGGTGTCAATCTCCTTGCTGGCCTGCAACAGGACTACCTAGACCCCTCAAAGTAGGTAAAATAATGGCCCAAAACCTATAAAAGGCTATTATTCTACATACTTTTGGGGTCCAGGTAGGCAAAGGCGGACTGATGCATGACTTGGCTCGGAAAACCGTCGTGGGCCTGTGAGTTTAGGATTTGAAACAGATTGGGCTCTTGTGTGCTGTCGGATCATCTGCTTCTGGAGTGCGCCGACCTGTGCGTGCGCGGGTGGATGGGCAGTGGGTGTGTGTGTGTGTGTGTGTGTTGTTTGTGTGTGTGTGTGTGTGTGTTGTGTGTGTTGTGTGTGTTGTGTGTGTGTGTGTGTTGTGTGTGTGTGTGTGTTGTGTGTGTGTTGTGTGTGTTGTGTGTGTTTGTGTGTGTTGTGTGTGTGTGTGTTGTGTGTGTTGTGTGTGTGTTGTGTGTGTTGTGTGTGTTGTGTGTGTTGTGTGTGTGTTGTGTGTGTTGTGTGTGTTGTGTGTGTGTGTTGTGTGTGTGTTGTGTGTGTGTGTGTTGTGTGTGTGTTGTGTGTGTTGTGTGTGTGTTGTGTGTGTGTGTGTTGTGTGTGTGTGTTGTGTGTGTGTTGTGTGTGTGTTGTGTGTGTGTGTTGTGTGTGTGTTGTGTGTGTGTGTGTGTGCGTGCACGCGTGTGCGTGTGTATCCCTCGTTTTTAAGGCACAGAAGTCACACAACTGAATCCACGCCGTTCCTTCGTCTGCTTCTCTTTCATCGCCGATGTGGGCCATCTCGCCTGAAGCTCCGTCCAACTGTCACACCACGAAGGCTTCTAAACTCAGTCCACCCGGCCCCTGAATGCGAAAACAAGTCTCCTACAGGCTGCCACGAAATCATGTGACGGTCAGTTCTTTGAGTGGAACCCAGGTGGTCCTGAGGATTGAAGCAGCTACAGCACTCACGCACAGTCACGTGCAAAATGCAAAAGCAATTTGTTTCACAGGGCACCAGGATGTGGATTCTTGGACTGAGACGGACTTTTTACTTTCAGGGTATAGCCATGCTGCAAGATGCTGGCTGTCAGTTCTACGGGGAATAACAGTATCACTGAATCACAAAAGGTGACAGTTCTACAGGGGATAAGAGTATCCCCAAAAATATCTGTTCTACAGGTAATAGTATTATGTATTCCCCAAGAAGTGTCAAGTGTAATCAGTCTGCCGCGAAGTCCCCGAAAGCCCCGGACCCTAAACCCCAAAACTCTAAACCCACCTGACATCCTGAACCCCTAGACTCTAAACCCCTCCTTAAACCATAAACTCCTAAACCCTTAGACCCCTAGACCCAAGTGCCTGAAAACCCCTCAGATCCTTGCCATCTTCGAGGTCTTAACGTCCCGAAATATCTGCTAAATACTGGACTTAAGGGTTTAGGAGTGTAGGGGTTGGGATTTAGAGTTTCATGGTTTAAGGCTTAGGAGTCAAGGTTTAGGGTTTAAGGTTCAGGGCTTAGGATCTGGGGAATCGGCCTGCAAAGCCGCAAGGGCGGTCTCAATAGACTCGGCCTGGGAAATGTAGAGAAACCAGCGGAGGGTTTAGGGTTCAGGGGGAGTTGGGGTTAGGGACCCCAAAGGTGGAGAAACCCTAGCTGGACCCTCACAGACCTACCTTTTCAAGGACGCATGCAATGTGAGGATATGGGCGTTTCGGAAAAAGAGGGACCCTAATATAGTACCCTAAATCATAGGATCCTCATTATATGGACCCCAAAATAAGGCACCTATAATTTTCGGAAACTCCCATATCACAGTAAGGAACGTAAGAAGTTTTATCAGGTCCAGGAAAGGCCCGAACCCGAAACAGGGCCTCGGATTTCGGGGTTCAATTGACCTGAAGACTTCGAGTAGCCAAACACTGACTGCTTTGAGGCTTCCTCTGGGGCTTCAATTACCGAAACAAGAGGTTACGGGGGTACATAATGTACAATATGGTTAGTAACCTACTAGTTAGGCAACCGAAGCCCTAGCATTCTCGCACCATGCTGCACTCCTGGGTTCTTTTTGAAGCACTTAATACATATTACCGTAATAAGGACCTTTAGTAAATTGGACTTCCTTAAACATGTTGGCATAAAGAACAAGTTCCTTACCATAATGCGGTTCTGTCAAGGCACCTAAACCGAAAAAAACAAAAGCGCGGATTAAGATACGAAAATCCTGCAAAACTTGCCCTGAAGCCCACGGTTTAGGGTTTTACAGGGCTGAGGGTGCAGGGTTAAAATCGGAGGGTGCAGGCTTCAGGGTGTTCAGAGTGTAGGGCAGGGTTTAGGGTGTGGGGTTTAGCCTCGAAACCTTGAACAAGAACGACCAAACACTACCGACAGCCGGCCTGATTTGTGCGGTCCGCCTCAGCCTGTCCACTTTGCTTGGAGTCTGGGGATTTGGGCATTCGAGATAAAAGAAACCCTGATCCCAAAACCCCAATTGCTTAAAAGCCATGTATGAATAGTTTGTCGATGCCCTGGTACGTACAAGAAAGCCATCCCTATTTAGTGAAGTCTGGCAATTGCTTCGCCCAGAACGAGCACCCTCATATCAGGAGTCTGAAACAAATCAAATCTGACTGCAACCCTACCTAGAGTCCTAAAGGGTCACGCGAGTGGGTCACAGGCACTCCTGTTTTCGAAGGTGCCAGCTCTGCTGTATAGAAGATAATGGCAATCAAAGTTGGGTACCAAGCGAAAGGAATAGCACATGATCCTTCAGGTACACCCTATGAGCCCTACACCCTAAACCCGCCCTATCATCCTTAACCCCAAACAGCCTAATCTGTTAACCCGAACAGAGCTGTAAACCCACAACTCCACCTGCATGAACCACGCCTGTCATGTCTCAATAAACAAGGTAAGATTGTGGGGTTAAGTTTGGGATACTCATGCAGGGACTGTAAGGGCATACCAGTTTTAAATTTCAGGCCCCTGTATTATCCCTGCCAGCCTGGGCAAACCCCGGCCCGATCCACTTCTTCTCTTTTTCCCGCTTATAAGGCGTCAGGGTGAAGTTATTGGTGGTTTAGGTAATTAGGATTACAGTTTACAAGTAGGAGTTTAGGATGTGCTAGGGTTGAGGGGCTCAGGGCCAATAGCGAACCCTTTCTCCCCTTCACGGGCCTGTTGCTGACGGTGCTGCTGCTGCGCCTTGGCATCCTCCAAACAGCGCTGCAACCTGTCATTCAGCTCGGGAGAAGTGACGTGGAAACTAACTATAGTCTCTATTGTTTCTTCTTTAGGTTACCTTATACAAACCCAAGAATCAAGTTGGCAAACCAAAAAAGAAAGGAGCTACACTGGCTCGAAAAGTGTTCTGTTCTGGATCAAGTAGAGTCCTAAGTATACCTGAATGTCTCAGGTGAGCGGATGGTGAGCTGAAACTTCCCCGCATATGTTTTTCGTAACTGAGGTTTCGACAAGCCCAAAGATTCCAGTACCCCTTAATTAAGGAACATACCTTAAATCATAGTATTAAGGCCTCTATAACTTAAGGTATTTTCCGTAATTACGGGGTATTGGGTTCTCTGGGAGGAACCCAGGAATCCCACGTTGCGGTCGCCAGCCCTGCTTTCGCAACTGCGGCTCGTGCAGGGCCTAAGGTGCGAGCACCAAACTTGCAAGCCCCAAAAAACCCACCGTAAATCCGAATCCTTTATAGTAGAATGTGGGGTTTCTATATTCGGAATTACTATTATGCTTTGGGGAAGTATCCCCCATAACAGTACCTAGGACCCTGAATTGCAGTCATGAGGGACTGGATTGGGGTGCCATCGTTGGCGATAAAGTCGTAAAGAGTTCGCAGGTTTGCGGCTGTTCTGCTAACGCATAAGTGCATGCCCAATAGCGGCGCAGGGACGGGAGGGGCAGTTGACATATGCTCTTGACTGAAAACTGTCGGTTTATCATGGTTTGAGTGTTTGAAAACCGAGCCATCGCCTTTTCCGCAGGCCCTCGAGAGTGCATGACGGCTCCTCGGCCTGACATCTCGGGGCTGTCAAGGCTTCGAGCGTGAGGGGCTGGTGGTTTCAGTGCTTAGGGGTGTATATAGGGCTTTGGCTTTGGGGCATGGGCGGTCTGTGGCGTCACTTGTTCCTTGGTACTGCTAGGGCTCTTCAGACACCTCGGGTGGTGCTTGAGTATTTGCTTTGCTTTTGAAGGGGGAGGTGGGGGGTGGGGGGTCGGGGGGGGGGGATTGCATGCTGGATCTACATGCAGGCTCAGACTGCACCGATGAGTCCACCATCAGCTTGTTTACCATCCCTGCTGGGACGTCACATATGGGTTGTTGTCAAAATTACAGTCCCTTTTTGGGTACCCTAAATATTAGGTGCCGTACTATATTAGGGACCCAAAAAGGGACCATAATTTTGACAACCACCCATATCAGCAACACCGTCCAACGTACATGATCCCAATGAGAAGGTGTAGGGTTTGCCGAATCCTGAACCCGTAACCCGAAGCCCCAGATTACCCATTGGCCCCAAAGTAGTTCCTTTTCGTGGTTCATACATAGCATCCTTTATAAGGTAATCCCAAAAAGGAACTACTATGGGGCCTATGGGTAAACAAGAAAAGCAGAGGCAGGCCTATCCCTAAACCTCCAATCCTAAACCCTAAACCCTCAGCATCGACGAGCAGGGCCTCCTCCTTCTGCTCCTCCTGCTTGGAGGGCGCACCTGCGGATTCTAACCCCCGAAACAGGCTCTGAAAGCTTAGGTACTATATGTGTTTCCAGGGGTTGCGAAAGATTGTACAGGGTTTTCTAGGCAACGGTGGGTATCAGCCGTGGGAACTGGTCAGAGTCCGCAAACCTGAAACAAAGTATGCGTGCAAGGCGGACTTCGTTGCTAACCTGACTGCTTCCTGAAATTCCTACATCCTAAACCCTAAACTCAGCTTCAAAAGGCATCTCAAGTTGTCCGCATGCAAGCTCACAGAATATCTTGGGTTTTAAGTCATTTTCTTGCACTCGCTGCAGAAGGATTTGGCCGGTGTCACCGTTGTGGCATCTTCATCTACTCATCGTCGGCTGCGCCCCTCTGTCGCTTGGCTACAGCTTCCTGGTGAGCGCCATCAGTAAACCCTAAACCCTAAACCCCCCTAAACCCTAAAGTCTCCTCGAATCAGCACGCTTTGCTTCAGCTTCGGCTCTCCATCCAGCAGCCGTTTCTTGATCATGTTGGAGTAATCCACCTCATTTCGGGGTTGAAGAAGACCAAGAGGGATTTTCTTGTGCTGGAAAGCATATCGAAGCCATGCATCGTCATCCACGCGGTTCAGAACAAACCGAGACTGGAGGCTCGCAGAGTTGTCATCCGCATTTGCACCACCATTACTCGCTTGGGTGTTCGTTCCCATCCTGCCGCATACCACTGTACAGGACAAGGCTTTAGCAATCATAGAAACCGGTGCCGGGTTTTCTGTCTGTCCGACGACGATAGATGCAAAGGCTAATTAGTCGGCTGAAGTCTGTTATCGGGAGTGACAAGTACCACTTAGTCGTTAAACGGCCGTACCCGTCTCCAGCTAGTGTATTTCGTAGTTGCCCATTGCCAGTACTGGATCCACAAGTTGCGCGGCAGTTGTATTGCCAATGCCGGACAGCGAAGGCGGTGAGGTAACTTGCTGGAACCAACGAGGTAGCGAGCTGCTTCGTTAAGGATCTCCCTCTATTTTCTTGCCGCGTGGGACGTCCGATGACTTCTTGCACAAACCCTAAACTACCAAAGCTCAAACTTCCATACCATACATGCGCATCATTCCCAGATAGCTTGGTCTTCCCGGCCGTTTCAGAGTCCCCGGAAGTTTCGAGTTAGGTCCTGGTTGTGACTCCTTCTTAAATCTAGACATGAGCTGCTATCAACGAGTTCACGTGGCGCCCATGTCCTTTTCTTTCGGGGTGGATCAACACATTATTGCATGCTAACTCAGCAACTATACACACACCACACTTTGTTTTTGCATTCGCGTAGCCTTTTGTTTCAAAGAGTTTGATGTACTTCTGTGAGCATAGTTCTGTGTCTTTGCCGGACTTCTTCAGCAAATTAAACCCCTATAGTACCCTTATAGGATCCCTTAAAGGAGCCCTATAAAGCGGGATCGGAACAGGTTCCAGGAGAACGTGGTTTTGGTCGAGGTCTCGGAATATTCCGGCGCTCCGCGCTGAAAGGGCTTTGTCTTAGGGTGTAGGGCTTATAGGGTTTATGGTGTTAGGTTTTAGGGTTTAGCGTTCAGGGTTCAGGGTCTGGTAATGTGATGACGATGATGATGATGAGGAGGAGGAAACCCTAGTTTCTAAACCTTCATCCCTAGACATTACTCGCTGAACCCTCAACCCTAAACCCCAACTTCATCCCTAAATCCTATAATCCCTAACTCCTCAACCTTGTTAATCGCTCAACCCTCAATCCGACCCAATCCTCTTCCCTATAAACCTTACTCCCTGAACACCCCGCAGTCGAATCGCTACCCATAGGCCCCATAGTAGTTCCTTTTTGGGATTACCTTATAGGATTCTATATGGGAGTTTCAGGAAATTGGGGGTACCTTGTTTTGGGGTCCTTATAATAAGGATCCTACTATTTAGGGTACCATATCAGGGTCCCCTATTTTTGGAAACTCCCATATATGAACCACAAAAGGAACTACTTTGGGGCCTATATGGGTGGTTGTCAAAATTAGGGTCCCTTTTTGGGTCCCTATCATAACACGGCACCTAATATTTAGGGTACCCAAAACGGGACCCTAACTTTGACAACCACCCATATAGGCCCCACAGTAGTTCATTTCTGTGGTTCATATATAGAATCCTATAAGGTAATCCCAAAAAGGAACTACTTTGGGGCCTATGGGTACAGCAGAGCTTGGGGGCTGGGAACCTTGAGCCTGCTCCGGCGGTTCGGCAGCTGGCGGGGCCTGGAGGAAGGCTTGGGGAGGTCGGCCCTGTGGTTCCCCAAAGGCTCAATGTACCTTTATAGTAAATACTTAAGCCTTAAAGGGGTCCCTATATGGGTGCTTTGAGGCCTAAGTATATACTATACCTAAAGTCTCCATTCTAGTTCTTTTTTGGGGTTAACCAGTTGTATGGTTAGGATCCTATAATAGAGATTTTGGTTAACCAGAAAAAGGAACTACAATGGAGACTATAGGTAGTAACCGAGCTACCAGGGCTTTGCGGGTGTAGGCTTTAGGGCTTTAGACATTACCCTAAGGCTCCTAATAGGCGCAGGGGCTTTGTGTGCGAGGGTTTGGGCTTTGGGGGCTAAAGTTTATAGGATCTCACGACGAGGGTCCAGTTTTGAAGGTTGGGGTTGTTAAGGGTTGGAGGAGTATCAGTAGCAGGTCAGGGCTGTGCAGCTCTGGGGTTTAGGGTTTACGGTGAAGTTTCGGATTTAGGGAGGTTAAGGGCACCTAGGGAATCCAAGATGCTGGAACAAAGTGTAAATGTATCAATGTTTCAAGGTGATCCCTTTCTTACCGGGTGCATTGGAGAGAAAAGGCCCCCAGACATGACGCCAAGCGTTCACCGGTGTAAGCTTCCCAGAGACTCCAATATCCCTTAATTAAGGAATTTTCCTTAAATCAACTTGGGGAGGGATCCTACCATAAATTAAGGAATTTTCACTACATCATATTAGGGAGGGATCCTATATACCATAATTTAAGGTATATTCCCTAATTAAGGGTTTGGGGACTCTCTGGATTCTCGTTGCTCTGGCTCGGCCTGGGGGCACAGAAACGAAGAGACCGGGCTGTTTTGGCGTCGTCGAGCGAGATGTTTGGCCTTGTCTCAAAAAGCCAACCCCAAAGGCTCCATGCACCCATTTAGTAGGTACTTAGGCCTCAAAGGGGTTCCTATATAGGTATTTTCAGGCCTAATAAGTATATACTATATTGGTACATGGAGCCATAGGGAACCCTAAACCCTCTAGCCGTAAGCCCTGGACCCTAAAGAGCACATAGACCTGTCTTGCGCGGAGATGTCATCATGCAGCGGTGTCCGGACTGGGAGCGTCCGATGCTGAACTCGCCAGATGAGTGGAGCAAACGATTGTCCATGACCTGCGTTTCAGCGAGAATGAGCTCGACCGCGCCCCCGTTCTAAGGTTTAGGGCTTCAGCTTAAGAGTTGGCGGACTTACCTATAGTCTCCATTGTAGTTCCTTTTTTGGTTGACCAGTTTTATGGTTAGGATCCTATAATAGAGATTTTGGTTAACCAAAAAAAGGAACTACAATGGAGACTATAGGTAGGGATGTTGCGCAGGCCTGAAAAGATGGGGGGTTGAGACCTTCGGGTTTCAAAATCTAAGGTTCAGGTCCTACCTTAACCCCGAAGAGCCCTAAACAATTAGGCTCCTTAGGGTCCAGGTAGCTTAGGGTTTAGGGTTTAGGGTTTAGGGTCCTTAGGGTCCAGGTAGGGCTTACAGAAGGGTTCAGGGCCAGGGGAGAGTAGGAATGCGAGGGAGGTGCATGACTCGTTATGAGATCTGGCACACCATCTGGGACTGCAAGGCCAACAAGATATCCCCAAGTCCAGAACCCAAACCCCCCAAAACACCCAAACTTTTAAATCCTACACCAATCTAAAATGACTGCCGAATGCTCAAGATCCGAAGCCGGCATGAAACCCTAAACCTTCTAAGCCATCAAACCCTAGAAACCCTACACCCTTTAAACCCTAAACCTTGCAATGAGTTCGAGGCTGTCTCCGCCGCGTTTGTGCCCGACTGCCTTCTTCGTCGTCATGCTTAGGGTTTAGGGGTGTTTTAGGGTTTACGGGTTTAGGGTTTAGGGGATGTTGATGATATAAATCCTGCATGACCCATAATGAGGAATATACCACAGTTCCCATAGTCTACGGTCATTGAGGTACTGCAGGATTTACATCATCAACCGTTCGGGTTTAGGGGTTAAGGGCCGTTCAGGGTTGATTAATTTACCTGCTAGGGCTGCCAGTATACAAAAGGGGTTTGTGGGGGCTTGGGCTTTGGACGGTTGTGGGTTTGGGGTTTCGAAATCCGGTTCGAGGTATGTTTGGAGCTTCGTGTTTCTATTGGAGGCTAGGGCGTAAAGGGCTTCAGGGCTAGGGTTTAGAGGTCAATTCCTTGAGAAGAACCCAGCTTGTGAATCCTCAAGGAGCCAGATATTCTGATGCACTTGTTGAAGCGACGTCGAGGTTAGGGGTCGTGCCTGGAATTTCATACTGCTGCTATGGCATGAGAGCGTACATGCAATTTGTACCCTGGGCCTCATTTGGAGAGGCTCGTCCCCGATGCCTCTGCTGACTTTGTATGAGTCTCTCAAAAACCAAAAGCCCTAAACCCCAAACCCACAGTCCCTGAGTAGTAGCTCGAGGCCCGGACATCTGATCCGAGCCGTTGATCTTGTCGCAAAAAGTGGCCAAGTCCGCCAGCCGACCCTCTCCCAACTTCATCGTCGCCTCACCTATAGTCTCCCTTGTAGTTCTTTTTTGGGTTGACCAATTTTATGGTTAGGATCACATAAGACATATTGGATAAAAAAACATAATTAAAGAAACTACAATGGAGACTATAGGCAATCTTCTTCAGGCAGCTGGCTCTGTGTGTTTCTTCTTCTGGTTCTCCTCCTTGCTGGGAGCCGTCGGCAGGTCGGCGCCGAGGTTCGCATCGCGGCCGCCGGCGCCAAAAGCGCAAGGAAGACCGGGCCGGCTATCAGCTGTTTTTCCCAAAGGCACCATGTACCCATATAGTAGGTACTTAGGCCTTAAAGTAGCCATATAGGGACCCCTTTAAGGCCCAAGTACCTACTATATTATATGAAATTATATGGGTACATGGAGCTCTAGGGTTTGGCAGGCAGAAGCCCGAAGACCAAGCGCAATCAACCCAAGACCTCAAGCCGTAAAGCTCTGCGACCCCAATGCCTTGAACCCTATCTGTAGTCTCCATTGTAGTTCCCTTTTTTGGTTAACCAAAATCTCTATTATAGGATCCTAACCATAAAACTGGTTAACCAATAAAAAGAACTACAATGGAGACTATAGGTACACCCTGAATCCTAATTCCCGGCTTCTGTCTGTTTGGGTACAGGTCCGCCGTGGCCTTCGAACTGTCTTGCTACCTGCTACGGCCTCTTCGAAAACAAAGCTCTGTGCCCCTCCTAGTTATGCTTCCGAGTTTATGTGCTCTCAACCTTACCCTGCTTTCTCTATCTTAGGGCCCCAAAAGCATGAGACTGGCTTTAAGACCAACTTCATTGCACGGTATGGTCGAGGTTTCAAGTTGATCTTTAAACTTTAAAATATGAGCTCTCAGCATAAACTCATCGCCTAAAGCCCGTGTGCTTGGGTGGGCAGAGTTGCACCCTGATGCGTGCCTTGATCTCTTGAGCTTCTTGCAGTGTCTGCCCCCTCTAAGCAGGGGAACTTGACGTCGAATATGCGTACACCAAAAACGAGTCCCTTCTGCTAACCCTCAGGATCAAAATGGCCCAAAAGCCTTAAAATATGAGTCCATAGAGCCTTAGAGTAAGTGTACATGTTTTTGCACGGGCGACGTACCTTAAAACCGAAGGCTCTATGCCGTCGCACCCACTGGCCCACTGCCACTTCTCGCACATGACATGTTAACACCTGTCCTAAGGCCTCAGGTGCCGTTTGACAACCGTTCAATAAACGACAACATCTTAGCAGTAAATCCGTATCGGACCTCAAAACCTGCAAGCATGAGGGTGGTTTTCAAAACTAGGGTCCTTTTTTGGCTCATTCTTTTAATACGGCACCTATTATTGAGGGTACCCAAAAAAAACAATTCTGACAACCACCCATGAAGCAATACCCCACCCTCCCCAACAAAATACACTAAATTGGAAGCTCCAAGGCTCTAAACTTTGAACCCTATGCAAACCCTGACCCTGAGCCCTAAACCCTAGGCCCCAAAGTAGTTCCTTTTCGGGATTACCTTATAGAAGTCTAACTATGAACCCCAAAAAGGAACTACTTTGGGGCCTTTGGGTAAACCCTAGACCAGAATCCCAAAAACCAGAAACTCAAGGAGTTGTCCTTTGTACCCTTAGGGTTTGTACCCTTAGATTTGGGTTCCTAAACCATAGAATATGGCGCTCAAAAGAGGTATTCGAGACCCCAAATCCATGGTTCCAAACGTTTAGGGTGCAAACTTAATGTCTTTGATAAACCCCAGACCAGAGTCCCTAAACCCTACAGTAGAAGCCCAAAAGTTGGAAACCCAATAGCCTCAATCCTTAAGAACAATGTAAAGGGAATCTCAGCACTATTTGTCCTTAACCCGGTTTCCAACTTTATGGAGTTTACTGTAAACCCTCGGGCTCAGAGCCTGCCTGGATGTCAGGAAGCCACGTCGCAACGCGCCCGAACTGGACGAGGAGGCCTCCTCTTGGCGTGCTCGCTGCAGCCGCTGGTGTAAGTTAGGGGGAGCTTTAGACTTCGAACAGTGACTACCTATAGTCTCCGTTGTAGTTCCTTTTCTTGGTTGACTAGTTTTATGCTTAGGATCCTATAACAGAGATTTTGGTTAACCCAAAAAAGGAACTACAATGGAGACTATAGGTATAACGGTTTGGGGGATCGTGTACCGTTTAAGTAGACTAGGGGTTTAGGGTACATTATATCGAGAATAGGGGCTTGGGGTATGTTATACTATAGAACTACATGGGAAGCTCTCGTGATCCCGATTCTGCACTACCGACTCAAAAGAGGGAGCACCCTGTCGAGCTCCAGCTAGCCGAATCGACATCAGTTTCGAAGATCCGTGTAGACTGGCATTATGGAATCCCCAAAACCTTAAAGAGATGGTCGTTTGGAGCTCAGTCCTGCGTTTGTAGTATGAAAGGAACTTGTTGCTTCGGGTTGCCGAAAATCAGTAACATCAAACTCGGAACTTTAATCATGGACAACCGGCACTGCACTGGAGGACTGTAGGATTGATCCGAGGCGCAGTTCAACGACTAGCATTCCAAGGACAACGGGGCGTGGTGCAGCGGCAGTGCAGACCTTATCTAAACGAAATCCCTTGGGTACGGCCCCCCCGATACAGCAACAGTCCATAAGAGGGCTTCAAGTAAGGTGCCCTATATCTATATCTGTATGTATATATGAATGCATATATATATATATATGTATCTAAGCTGTGACTATCTTTCAGCTATTATTGAGGGCGGACGGTATCCAAGAACTCGCACCTATATGCGTTCGGCGTTCGCCCCTTCCTGCGGACCGCAGCCACAGGGCAGCTAAGCCAACATTAGAGCTGCATTGGAGGCTCTGGCTGGTTCAATCGAATCTCCGGCTACCACAACCCGAAATCCCACACCTCGTGAACCACTGCCCTAAGTCGGGGCACCTCAAGGACCGCATCCCTCATATCCAGCGAATGACTAACTTTGGAGGGTCGAGGGACATACTAAGTAGATACTTTACGAAGTTATGAGGACCATAACCCCAGTTAGGATCCCATTTAGGGTACGAATAAGTCTACTTTTTGCCTAAACATGGGTCAGGGCTTTCGAGCTCTAGCCCCAATCCTGAAAGCCCAGACACCACGAACAACCCAAAAAAGTCTGGCAAACACCGCAAAGATGCGCTCTTCAAAATACTAAGCTACTAGACTACTATCCTAAACCCAAGTACCAAATTAATAAGTCCTTTGGACTAAGGGCAAGGGTTTAGCAATTTGGATTTCGAGCTTGGGGCCGCGAACCCCACTCATTTCCAGGCCTTCTTGTGAGCTGCGACGTCGAAGTCGTCTGGCAGCTCCTGGATTTGCTGGTCCGCGCTAAAACCTCTGACGACATTCACGTCCGCGTTTGGAACTTGGACATGCTGTTCCCACATGGTCCTAGGTACTGTTATGGGGGATACTTCCCCAAACCATAGTTGTAATTCCTAATAATGAAACCCTACATTCTACTGCAACGGTACTTTGGACCCTTTGGGGTTATATCCCAAATGAAACGGGCCTGAGACCTAAACCAACACTCTGTTAATTGCCAGTGACATCATCCGAAGCTGCTCAAAACGGACACCCTGGCCCCTGCCAGCCCGGAAGAAAGATGCCGTAGAGGACTGAGAAGCTAGAGTGGGGTAGTGATGTATATTCTCGCATACCATATACCTACATAGGGATGATGACGAGTGGGATGATGACGAGTTGCTGGGACCTCTGTATTCGTAGTGATACTAACCACACGGTCCTAGCAGTCCTTGTTTGAACGGATGCTTGATACCTGAGAACCCACCTATAGTCTCCATTGTAGTTCCTTTTTTTGGTTAACCAAAATCTCTATTATGATCCTAACCATAAAACTGGTCAACCAAAACAAAGGAACTACAATGGAGACAGGTAAGGTGGACTACTTGGAACTTTGGGGCTAGGTGAGGTTGGAACCTCCACTCGGCGATGTCTCACCGCAGATGAGACCGAGAACTTTCCGCAGCCGAACACTCAGGGGACATAGCTTAACGCTTAGGAGAAAGGGTTCCTTTTTCTTCTTTGGTAGCTATACGTGCTCGATCACTCTATGATTCGGTAGCCGTGATGGTTAGAACAGGGCAATGGAAGATTGTAAAGGAAGGCTGGATCCTATGTCTAGATAAGTTTTCAAACCCTATGCAGTAGACACCTTGTACACATGTCCTGTCAGCCTGATAAACCCAACAAACGGTCATCTCTGACCACTTGCTAAAGCCCGATGCCCTGACCCTCATTTGGCGCTTAGCCAGCTACTCGAAATTCTGGCAATTGGTTGGGTTCGGGTTTAGAGGTTGTGCGCTCCAGTTTGCACAGAGGGTCTTACAGTCTAAGGGAGGGTTCAGGCTTTGGCATTTGTTTTCGAGGTTGGCGGAGTTTAGAGATGGATACTGCCTAAAGTCTCCATTGTATATAGTTCCCTCTGTTTGGTTTAAGCAGCTCTATAATTAGGATCCCATAAAGTATCCCACAAAGTTGAACTACCATGTAGACTACAGTTGTGGCAGCTTGAGCCATGAGAAACGAGTGTCCCAACAAGACAACTGCAGCTCGTGTCTAATGTTCGCGGTCAGAGGTAGCGGACACTAAACCCCCCATCAGGTCTGAATGCAAGCCGCCTAAACACTACCTATTGTCTCCATTGTAGTTCCTTTTTTGGTTAACCAAAATCTCTATTATAGGATCCTAACCAGAAAAAGGAACTACAATGGAGACTATAGGTAAATCTCATGAACGTGATCTTGGTCCTCGATAATGGGTCCGGAAGGCATGGGTGCAAGCAGCAGGGCGCCTGACAAAGGCTTGGTCTTTGGGCCGGAAAAGCCGTAACATGAGTCCCTGGAGCTTTACAGTAGAAGCCAGAAAGTTGGAATATCATTATCGTAACCCCTTTAGGGTAAAATATAGGGGATCCTACCATTAATCCATATTCCAACTTTCTGGAGTTCCCTTTATGGGTAAGATTCCTCGATTGGGGGTACAACTTGACCCAGCTGGCTTTGGCTTGGAGGCATGTTCTGCACCTCACCTTTAACCTGTGATGACTCATCATGTTCGGGATGGCAGCTCTAAGATCACAGGTCTGAGTCTAGGGTAGGCCTTAACAACAGGCGACTGCAGCTTCGGCCGGAAAATCATGTGATGTTTTGAACGACCACCTCTGAACATGCATGATCCAAAACGACACTGCGAAAGAGACCGGAAAGAGGTGAACCCCTGAGAGGCAGAACAGTGGGCACATTACACTACGTGTCAGTAGCAAAGGCTGCTGAAGGAACCCTGCCATAATACAGCGTGTTGGGGTACAATGCCACATATACAGTGGCGAATCGGGAAGGTAATCATTAAGGTGCCTATATTGGCCAGATATTTTCCTCGTGGGGCGCGCACAGCGTCGACACAGAATCGTTCTAAGCGGGCTTCTACCTTTAGCATCCGCACAGGACAGCGCAAAGGCAGCTTGAGCAAGACTTTCTACTTCTCAAGCAGTTCCCGCGGGAGTGCTAGACTACGCCGTTTCGCAACGACGTCTAGAGGGATGTGAGGAAACTTCGCAATTGCCAGGGTGAGAGGGCTGGACGGCAAGGCATAACGTGAGTGCGATCCACGTGCGAAAATTTGTATGGTCAATTTGTGCTCAATTTGCCCCGCCGACACGAACTGGCATGCCACTCTATACATCTATGCATACTGGTGCACACACACACACACACGCACCCACACATACAGAAGCATACATACATACAGTTGACTAGAAGTGCGTACATGCAGGTACATACCCACATATACAGACAGACAGACAGACCGACAGACAAACAGACGGCCGGACGGGTGGGTGGACAGACGGACTGACAGACAGACAGAGGTACGTATGTATCTACCCACCCACCCACCTGCCTACCTACCTGCATATATATATATATACTTGGCACACATATTTACTTGGGTACATATGTGCAACACGTGTGTGTATGTACGGATTCATGTATGCCTGTATGTCTGTGTATGTAAATACATACATATGTACGTAAGTATGTATGTATATATGTATGTTTGCATGCATGGATGCAAAGATGCGTGGATGGATGGCTGGCTGGCTGGACGGATGGATGAATGGATGGATGGGTGGATGTGAATGTATGCATCTTTGTATCTATGTAGGTATGTTCACCTATTGATGTATGTATGATCACAATATATGTATGTATGCATGTATGTCAGTATGTCTGTTCAGTTGAAAGAATGAACGAAGGACCGAATGATTGATTGATGGATGGATGCACTGATGGGGTTACGATGAAGCAAAGATAATTGTTTGCATGCACACACACACACACACACCTCTTTATGGGTACATGCTCGTACACACGACGCCGAGCTTCCTTCTCCACGATGGCATCGGATCGAATTAGAATCCGCCCCAACTTGGCCACTAGACGCTTTCTCGCACTTGCAGTCCCGTTTACCTGATGGGAGAAGGTGCCCACCTCTTCCATGCGAATCTAGAAGCAACCCCTAGACACCGTCGTGTGGCCACGGGCCATTCGCCAGGCAACTCCATCCGACGGAGATGCCCTTTCTTTGCGGCCTACCTGGGACGGGTGAGTCACATCTTGTCGACAACGAGACATGAGCGCAATATGACCCACGGGAGAGAGTGCCTTTACTCGGAGCTGTTATACCATGAGTGTCTAGGTTTTAGAGTTTAGTGGCTGGAGTTTAGGATTTGGTAGTTCGGGACTAGTGACTAGGGTCCAGGGCTCCCAGGCAAAACTGTATATCCTTTCTCCTCACGTCTCTGCCAAGATAGGCATTAGCATTCAGTGGGGCTCAAACTGGCGTCTTCTTCAAACATGGCTTTATGTTCAGGTGGTTGGGGCTTCCAATAATGTCGCATGTGCGGATAACCGGAATCAGAAACAAATGAAGATGAACGATAATCCGAAAACCTCCTAGGCCGATTTACGCGACTACTCCCGACTATCCAACCGCGAAGACCCTATACGCCCCAAGACTGTGAACCCTATCCAACTAACTACTCTCTAGCAACATGTCGTCATGATGCTGATCCAGAACCTATGCAACCGACGCCCGCATTAGGTCGACTACAAAGAACGGCGACTGTACAATGTAGGTACATTGCCAGGAAAGCTTAATCACAAGACTGATTCCTTAACAAGCCCAGCAAGCACTCCATCCCCTGTCTTAAACCCTCATCCCTACGACCCTTTAACCCGCAGCCAACCTTAAACCCTAGAAGGAACCCTAAACCCAAAATGAAATATCTCAAACACAGGTCAATAAACCCTGATTCCTCCCCAACGCCCCCTCAACAAAAACAAGAAACCAAAGCAGATCAAAGACAAGCTGCCAGCCGTGACCCCCGGTGCTTGCTTGGACGGAGGCTTCTTCTTGCTTCGGATTTTCCTCAGTTGGGCTTTGGGTGTAGGGTTTAAGACTGTTTCTCGTTTGCCCGATTTTTTGACAGGCTTAGGGGCATCTAGCCTCGAAGTTACATGGGGACTGCAAAGGATACGGAATTTCTCAGCACTTCGCAGCCATCTACGGCTTCAGGTTTCAGAAATGGCTGTAGAGTAAGGCTTGCAATTCTAGGTCCTTCAGCTGGGCACTGCGCAGCAAAGCAAAACAGCTGAGAGCTTCAAGGGCGTTGGCTTTCCCTAAGGGTCCATGTGCCCGAATCGCACATACCTTGGCCTTACAGTACCTATAAAAAGAAACGGTGTTAACGCCCCAGTATATACAGACTCTTTGGGCACATGGACCCTTCGGGTTACACTTATGGTTGAGACTCCCATCATGTGGGTGGTTGCACCTTTTTGGGTACCCTAAATATTAGGTGCTGTATTATAATAAAGATCCAAAAAGAGGCCCTAATTTTGACAACCACCCATGTGGTCCTGCAAGTACGCAAGGATGTGGTCTCCAAAATGTTGAACCCGAAGAGCCGCTCAGAAATCTGTAGGCCCTCGGAAGAGCTACTTGGAGGTTCATGGGTAGTTATAAGTAGGGTTATAAGTAGGGTAACTATACTTATAACCCATATTAGGGGACTTATAACCCTACTTATAACGACCCCTGAACCTCCAAGAAGTCTCAGGTGTTCTTGAACATAGGGGTTTAGAGCACGCGTTTCAGACTCGTTGACTGGAGTTTGAAGTAACCAGCGAGAAAAATGTAAACTCTTCTTTCACAGTGGTTCCTTTGAGGAACAAGTCCAAACAACGTATTCAATGTATGGTACTTCAAAGGAACACTCCGGAATCCAAAGCACTGTTCGGTACGGTGCTATCTGACTCAAGTTCACCGAGGGTCACTAGGATTTCGGTCTGGGGTCGTAAGGCCTGTGGGCAAAGCTGGTGCAAGTACAGACACCGGTCGGATTCGTGGCTCTACCCCCATGCACGATACGTAAGCCCGAAAGCCCAAGACCTTGAATAAGTAAGGCCTTAGCCCTACGGGTCCATGTACCCATATAGCCTATACTTTGGGCCCAATGTACCTATATAGGGAGTACTTTAAGGCCAATGTACATACTATATGAGTACAAGGACCCTTAGGGTAGGGTCCTTTCAGGAACATCTGAACTGCAGCTGTCCAAAGCCCAAAACCTTGAATAACGGTTGATGATATAAATCCTGCATTACCCATACTAAGGATTATACCATAATTCCCATAGTTTAGGGTCCTTAAGGTAATGCAGGATTTATATCACCAACCGAATCACGAGCTGATGACCCCTTCCGGAGCCTCTAAACTGCAGCCCTTCAGCTCAAAACCTTGAATACTTAGGGCTGAGGATCCCTCCCGGGGCCCGGTTTAGGGTTTTGGGTTTAGGGTTTAGGGTTTACTGCAGCCCTTCAGCTCAAAACTTTGAATACTTAGGGCTTAGGATCCCTCCCGGAACCTCTGAACTTAGGGCTTAGGATCCCTTCCGGAACCTCTGAACTTAGGGCTTAGGATCCCTCCCGGAACCTCTAAACTGCCGCTGCTCTGCCACGAGCTCTAGGCGCAAATGATCCAACTTCCAGTCCGGCAGAGACTCGAAGACCTGCTCCTCCAAGGAAGGCTTACTATACTCTAGGGGTTACTGGGGTTTAGGGGTTAGGGGTTAGGATTTAGGGATTATAGGATTTAGGGTTTACCCAGAGGCCCCAAAGTAGTTCCTTTTGGGATTACCCTACAGGATTCTATACATGAACCCCGAAAAGGAGCTACTTTGGGGCCTTAGATTACTATAGTCAAAAGGGAAAGGAGGGACCCTTCATGGGGACCCCTACCCTACAATGGGCTATGTCATGGGTATATAATAGCTATATTACGGGTATATACCTAGGGGTCCTTATGAAGGGTCCCTCCTTTTACAATTGGATATAGGGGCCTTAATAATTAATCAGAGTAGGGGTTCCTCAAAGGGTTCCTGTTAAAGGGGTCTGTAAGGATTAATATAACTAGACCCAAGAGTAACCTAGGAATAAAAAGGGTGCCCTTTTTGGTTTAAAGGGGTTTATAAGGGAACCTGAACCCTAAAAAAGGGAATAAGGGCCTACTCTGGGTCCTAGATAAGGAGTACTATGGGGGTTTTAGTGTAGAGGCCTTAACAACTAGAGTAGGGTTTTGGGGCCCATTGCAATATAATTATCAGAAGGCGCCCCCCCCCCCAAATAGTATGGGTAATTATTAAGGCCTCTATATTAAGCTTAGTGTCAAATGGTGTCCGTTTTAACGCCCGTTTGAGAGGTTCCTATGAAGAACCTCTCAGTACCAGAATCGGGGACGTAGCGACCGGCCGAGTTGGGCGGTAGCTTGAACCCGTAATCGTGGGAATAGCTTCGGGACTTGAGGATTTGAGGACTTCGGGTATATTAACTGCAGCTTGTGGAGCTGACTCAGCAAATATCGCCACCCTCACTTTCCTTACCTACTTACTGTCTTGGTGAGTGCAGGGTCCCGGAGAAGTCTTTTTAGGGATGATCATGACATACGAGAAGCTACCCACGTACTGTTTTGGTAGGGTCCCTAAAGAGCTCTTTTCGGGATGTTAATATGTTGCAAGAAAGTATAAGGGATGGTAGTTTAAGATATGATCAGACGTTTAGTGTCAACTTTACCTCCAGCAAATCCTGTTATCCCCAATAAAGGGCCCTTATAATTACAATAAGCTTATTGGGGCCATACTATTAGGGCCATACTATTGCGACAGTTACTTCACTGCACATGCGTAAAATTTCAAATTTAAAGTCGGGGAATAGAAGACAACTCTGAACCTTGACGTTGAACTGCCAATGTTAGGCGAGCTGCCAGCGGGGCAGGGCTGCCATCATGTGCGGCAAACACCTGGCCGGACTTACGATGGTTTATGGGATGAGGGCTGGTGTGATTTGTGGAAAACGTGTTTACATGCCTTATGTACGCCAATGCAACCACATACACTATGAACATATCTGTATGTATATGTACATATATACATATATATATATATATATGTATACACACATACCTCTGCATGCAATGTATTAAATGTATTACATGTGCTACATAACTGTATGTACTCATATATGCATGTACTAGTTTACATACACAACGAATGACAGGCTTACACTTGGGGAGCCGGCGAGATACAGAGAGAGCGAGAGAGAGAGAGAGAGAGAGAGAGAGAGAGAGAGAGAGAGAGAGAGAGACAGACAGACAGACAGACAGAGACAGATAGAGGAATGCTCCTCCTGCATGCGCACACACACACAGAGAGAGAGAGAGAGAGAGAGAGAGAGAGAGGAGGGAAGGAGAGCCGTACACGAGGAATAGAACGGGACCTGCAGCAAATTCCCCTTGTCTCTTGTGGTCACCACAAGTGGACGATCTACAAAGCTGTAAGTAAGGGCTTAGGATTCACAGTGGGCGTTTTAGATGATGTTGAAGGTTGCATTGAGGGTTAAGGATATTGGGTTTTAGCCGGAGATACGGGCCCTTAGGCCGCCAATGAAGCTGCAACTGGCCAGGGCACCATGCTAAGGCTGTCGAAGTGTCGGCGGCTCATGAGATGATCAGCGACCTTCGTCTCAGGCTTTCCGGGCATGGGCCCTGTTATTTGTGGATGTTGAGACCTTAACCCCAATTCAGTGTTTAGGTTTTCAGGGTTTAGGGTGTAAGGTTAAGACCCGAAACCCAAAACACTTATAGAAACGTAAGAGAGCCCTTGAAGAAAACTTCAAGGAACACCATTCCATATCCCGGTGATTAAGGCCGTTGTTTGACTCTAAGCCAGCAAGTCATGCCCGAAAAGCTTAAACGGAAATCCGCCCCGGGGATCTCAAGCAAGTCGAGCCCCAAATTACGAGGCTCAGGCTTCATACGACTTCGGGTTTAGGGGGTTCGGGTTAAGACCGTTAAGAAGGTATAGAGCCGAGGCCCCACCGCATGCAAAACCCTCTATTGCTCCGGACCTCATAAACTCCCCAGTTTGGCGCTGAAACAAAAAAACGAAGGAGTCTAAGACATCACACCCTAAACCGTGTCTGCTGAGCTCACAACACAGGTGTGCGACAGCAACTGAAATAATACAGAATCACATGACATCAGAACATATAGTATTATATATATGTATATATATATATATATATATATATATATGGAATATATTACTCGTCTCATTATGATGCAATATACATTATGGCGAAATATGAAGTTTAGTAGAGTCCAACAAAACGATACAGACCGTACTGTTATATATGATTCAGGATGTAGTGTTGGCATCTTGTGTGTTGGAGCAGCCGGCTTAGACATCGGGTTTAAGGGGTTTACCAGCACCAGTAAAGCTGGAGCTCAGGCTCTTGAATTCGAGCCCAACGCGGTTTTGAGTCTAAGGGCTGCAGGGTTCACGTTTAGGATTCGGTGTCGGATTCTGGATTTCCGATCTGTGAGCGACAAGCAAGTTCCGGATGCGGTGGCATGACTTGTTATGGCTGCGGCGGCGTCATCTCTTGCGTGAGGGCCACTGTGTTGGAGCTCGAAATGCACAGATTGTGAAGGAACATCTTACGTAGTGTCGAAGCAACTTAGCACTGGACAAGTAAGATGCACGTCAGTACCCAAATCCCTTCACAATGTGCTAGAACCTTCTTGCCGGAAACCAGAGAAACCACAAACCTAGGGCTTACAGCAGCTAAGCCCTGCACGCGTGTGATCCAGCAAGCCTAAGTGCCAAAACCCCCACGCTATCTGAAGACAAGAGCATCGTTTCTTGTGTTTCGCAATCCAATCAACAATCCCACCCAAAGCTGAACTCTAAACACATCCTGATCGAGGGTCCGGCCTGATGTGGTGCCAGAACCTCGTTGGTGTCGCATATCTTGCAAACGAGATCTCGCGGATGCACCTGCTTTCATCTAGCTGAGATAAATGATTGCCGCAAGGCGTTTTCGCTAACGAGCCCTACTGTAAGTAGGCGATAAGTATAGTCTCAGGGCCAATGCGTAATACAAGGTTTGAACATTCTGTACTCTTCATTACTATTCAACCTAAAAAAATATTCCCGTCTCTCTCGTGAACATGTAGTCTGCCACTCTCTCGTGAACATGTAGTCTGCCATAATCAGGGTAACCTGCTAACCTGGGAACCCTGTTCGCACCTGCTGTTGTAGCAGCAATTGCTGGATCTTTGCCGCCTGATTTTCGTTACGCTGCCACAGCCTCGGATCAAGTCGATTTCGAGAATAGTTTCGGGTTTCCCTACCGATGCCGCAACTAACACAAAACTTCCGACCGTCATGCAAAAAGTGTTAAAGTTCGGATTCAAGCCTTTAAGCTTCACAGACACCTAGGACCAGAAGCGTAAACAACCTTAACAGCCGCCGCCCTAACGCCTAAACCGGGACTAGATTCCTCACAATTCAAATTCCAACTTAGATGGTACAGGAGCTCCGCCGTTTAACCTTCCCGGCCCAAGTATTCGAATAGTGCCTATTTGGGGTAAATATGGATCGTGAAAGGCGAAGGATAGTCTCCATTATACTTGCTTTTTTGGTTTAACCAGATTCACCTGAAAGGTGACTCAAAGAAAAAAGGAACTTCAACGGAAACAGCAGATAAACCCTCCACCCTAATACCGGCTGGATACAGCAGTAGCACTGTGGCTCTCCGCCCACTCGACGATCGCCCTGTCTGAACTTGAAAAATAACCCCACCACACGTTCAGCTCTCATCAAGGAGCATACCTAGACCCCCAAGAGTAGGTAAAATAATGGCCCAAATCCTATAAAAAAGGCTATTATTCTAATTTTTTTGGGGGGTCCAGGAAAATGAACGGAGAACCGACGGGAGCTATGCGCGAGGACTGGGGGTTTCAGAGGGTTTATAGGGTTTGGGGTTTAGGGTTTTAGGGTTTAGGGCTTTAGGGTTTAGGGTTTAGGTATAAGGTAAAAGCCAGAAAGTTGGAATATGATTATCCTAACCCTTCTATGGTAAATTATAGGGTATCCTACCATGAAACCATATTCCAACTTTCTGGAGTTCCCTGTATCCCCTTCAGAACTACAAGCAACGAACCATAAGATGATTCCCCCGGTTAATGTAAGGCATGTTCCTGAATTAAGCCCTTTTTTCTGGATATTTCAGGATACGTAAGGGGTGACGGGGTTACTACACGTAGTTAAGAATCGCGCAGCGCTAAGTTGCAAACCGTAAACCCTGAACCATAAACCCTTAAAAATAAGCCTAAATCTTATTATAAGACCTAAACAGCGACATACTAAGTCTTGAACCCTGAACCCCAAGCCCTAAACCCCTCAACCCCAAAGCCTTGAATCCTGAACCTTAACCTAATCTACAAGGGAAAAAGGAGGGACCCTAAGTAAGGACCCCTAGGTATATACCCTTAATATAGCCATTATATAGCCCATTAGAGGGTAGGGGTCCCCATTAAGGGTGCCTCCTTTTCCCCTTTGATAATCCCTGATCCCTTGGAGTCGGCTCTGGCTCGACTGAATTGAACTCAATGGATGGATTACCTAGAGTCTCCATTGTAGTTCGTTTTTGGGGTTAAGAGGTCCCTATATGGTTTGGGGGTTTAGGGTTAAGAGGTCCCTATATGGCTACTTTAAGGCCTAAGTACATACTATACCTATAGTATCCATTGTAGTTCTTTTTTTGGTTAACCAGTTTTATGGTTAGGAACCTCTAATAGAGATTTTGGTTAACCAAAAAAAGGAACTACAATGGAGACTATAGGCACTGTAAGTTTCACGGTTTAAGGTGAGCAATGGCTACCTTCAGCGGTTTAGGTCCCGTGGAAGAATCGAATCATTCATAACCCACCGTCTTGTTTGGCTGTGCCAGTAAGACCACGGCATAAAGCACGCTCTCTACGCAACTCAGAAGAACTAAACCATTTTCCCTTTCTTTAAACACCCCCCCTTATAACAAAAGCACATTGGGGCGAATCATCCCGAAATCATCCTTGCCCTGTTGAAAAATTCTGAATTGTGGGGGAGGGTTTCGAGGCTCCAAATACCCTTAGAGCACAATAAGAGCGAGAGCAACAGCAAGAGCAAGAGCAGGAGTTAGAGCAAGAGCAGGAGCAAAAGCGGGAGCATCAGCAAGAGCAGTAGCAAGAGCAAAGCAAAAACAGGAGCCGCAGCAAGACTAAGAGCAGGAGCAAAAGCGGCAGCAACAGCAAGAGCAGGAGCAGGCGCAAGAGATGCAGCAAGAGCAGGAGCAAAAGCCATCGCGGGAGCCAGACCCAAAGGAGGAGCAAGAGCATGTCCTGAAAAGTGGCAGTAGGGATGACAAATCCCTCTATTGGGGGCGGGGGGGGGGGGGGCCTTCCGTTTGATATCAGGGGGAAGGGATTACAAGGGTTCAGAACCAAGCAGCCAGAATCCCAGTTCCGTTTTGGGAAGCGATGTGTCGCAGCCGAGTGTAGAACCTTGGGGTTTCTAGGGCTGAGGGATTCAAGTCTCGAGGCTCGGTGTGTTACCTATAGTATCCATTGTAGTTCCGTGTTTTGTTTGGCCGGTTTTATGGTTAGGATCCTACAATACAGATTTTGGTTAACCAAAAAAAGGAACTACAATGGAGACTATAGGTACTGCTTAGACCAAAACCAAGGCAAGGCTGCTCAGGAAGCAAAATCTCAGGCTGTTTAATCGAACTTTAATCTTGTCAAAATGCCCAGCCTGAAACATAAACCCTAAAGCGCACAGGAGAGTTTTATGATACCTCTCTTTACGGTCTAAGGTTCTGGCTTTTGGGTCCGGGAAGCGATGCTAAATCCCGGATTTGGCAAGCCAGAAGGCCTACATGTGGCTATCGGGTTTAGCAGTGTTGTAAGCCCTACCCATAGGCTCCATAGTAGTTCCTTTTTGGGATGACCTTATAGGATTCTATATATGAACCCCAAAAAGGAACTACTTTGGAGCCTCTAGGTACACCCTAAACCCTATGCCGAACCCCTAAACTTCCCCTACGGCCCCAACGAACTCGAAGTCCCTAAAACCCGGCAAGTCAGACGCAGCTGCCCGTGCCTTTGCTCGATTGCATCTCTGACCTGCGGACAGTAGAAGTACGTATAGGAGTACGAGCAGGAGTGGGCGTAGTGGTAGTGGTAGTGATAGCGGTAGTGGCACATGTACAAACTGAACAAAAAAAGCAGCCCACAGCTTTATTCAAGCTTCTCCAAAACCCCTTACACAAAATCCTCATCGGGAGCTTTCTACAACCCTTGAAGGAAGCCCTATAAAGACCCTTGAAACAAACCGTTACACAACTCCCTCATACGATCGCTTAAACCCGAAACCCACTGTAAGACAAAAACCCTAACCCCCTAAACCCATCCTAAACCCTAAGCCCCATAGATGACAACTCCCTGCGCACCTCCAGCCTTGGTGGGCGACCAGAGACTCGCTGTCTGGATCGCGAGAAACGGTTCCTTCGGGAATTCAGTTCGCACTTCGGGCTGCGGTAGGGTGTCAAGGCTTTCAACAATGGGGCTTACCGTGGTGTCATCATAACGGGTAGGAGTTTCGCCGACAGGGCTCAGGGAAATTACACGAGTTCTGGTTTTATGGATTCGGGTCGAGGTCAGTTTAGGGATGCAACACCTTGATCCAGTCGGCAGGACACTTCCTCCCACTTTCGATTTATATAGGCCATAAGGCTCGACAGCTGAGTGCAGAAGCTGCAGTCACCTTTGAAGGATTTTGGGCGATTTAGGCTATCCTTACGGGTCCATGTGCCCAAAATAGTAGATACTTTGGCCCCTCAAAAGTGCCTTTGTAGGGACTGCTTTTAGACCGGAGTTCATAACTATTTGGACACATGGACCCTAAGGGTATAGGATTCCTCGAAGTCAGCTTTCGGGAACCGCCTTAATTTTGTTGTAGATTTACAGGTCCTGTGAAACCCGAGGGCTACAGTTACCGAAAGAATAGGTTAGTGGGGTTCATCGTATATGGTTACTAAATGGGGTGCATAATATATGTTTAGTACTACACTATTTGGGAGTTTCCGAAAAATGGGGGACCCTCAGAAGGTACCCGAAATAGTAGGGTCCTTATTGAAAGGACCCCAAAACAAGGTACCCCTTATTTTCGGAAACTCCCATATGGTTACCTAGAGGCTCCAAAGTAGTTCCTTTTTGGGGCTAATATATAGAATCCTATAAGGTCATCCCAAAAAGGAACTACTATGGAGCCTATGGTTAGTAATATACTATTTAGGTATTACCGGAGCCCGGGAGGATTTTTCGTCCCGACGGATGAGAATACGACGCCAGTTGCGTTTAGAAATACCAGGACCTCCCCCAAGGTTCGCTTCAACGAGCCCCTTCTTTGAATTTGGTAAGTTTTATTTAGAGTGGTTGAGGGTCTGCGTCGGCCTAAGTTTTAACTGCTTCGGCACTTGCTTGTCGCTTAAAGTTCAGGCCCCTGCGGGCATAGGTAGGGCCTGGGTTCTAGTCCGATGGAGTTCAGCGCATCAGGGGTTTGATTTAGACCTTCGCTGCTTCAAGCATCTTCTTGCTGTAGGGTCCTGACTATATAAAATCATCCAAAACAAAGTACTGAATATTATATCAACACCAGAGCACAAGCTCATTCAAATTGAGCATAACTCCAAAATTCAGTGCCCAAAATGCTGCGAGCGGCCGGCCAGGATTTGGGGTAAAACAGGGCGTTGACTGGTGTCTTACAAGATGGCAACACACAATGTAGATAGAAGCCTTCATAATGAGAAGGCTCTTGTTGGGGGGAGGGGGGGCGGGGTATAGTATATTACACATACATCTGTGTATATCTATATATTTATATATTTATAATATGTATACATATATATATATATGTATGTAGATGTGTGGGATCTATTAGGGGGTGATACATCTAACTCTTCCACCCACGATCTTATTCCTACCGTGAAGGCTTCCAAATGCTTGGTCGCACCTCCTCCCGGGAGCATATCCTCGCGCAGCGGCAATGCCGCCGCCTGGGGCACCGTTTCAAATGCGCAGTTCAGGGTTTAGAGCTAAAGTATTTTTTCGGGGTTTTAGGTTTATAAGGTTTAGGGTTTAGGGGTTTCCGGCTTTTCGGGGTGTCAAACTGTATAGGATGTGGCATTTACTTCCTTTGTATGGTCCTGTCTGGGATTCGGGGCCAGAATAGGTTGTTCTGCTGCCAAGCAGTTCTGGTGGATGCAGCTGTGCTTAATCTCAAGAGCCCCCTCATTCTAAATCCCACGCTGCAAGGTTCGAAGGCTTATGGAGTTTGGGTTTGCGGTGTTTAATGCTTTTTCCCTACGGATCCAAGTAGCCTAATTAATAACAATATACTCTCTCAAGTATGAACGTACATAGCTACTACCCTACCTTCTTATTGCATCGTTTGGACCCTTGGGTTTTGGGCTGAGGCTTGGGATCTTGCATTTGAACTTGCAGGTGTTGAGGAGCTCTGTTGGATTGCGAACACACTCGTAACATGCCTATAGGCTCCATTGTAGTTCCTTTTTTGGTTGACCACTTTTATGGTTAGGATCCTATAATAGAGATTTTTTTGGCTAACCAGAAAAAGGAACTACAATGCAGACTATAGGTAGGGTGAAGGGCTTGGGGCTTAAGCTAAGGAAGTTTAGGGTGCACCTGCAAGTTGCTTCATGAATGCAGACCTGCAAATCCGGAGTTTGGAGCACACTCCAGAGGATTCCATAAGCTCACACCCGAACTGCCACACCTTCACCGTCAAATACAGTTTGTGTCAGCAGATGGACATGCTTGCACCCAGACGCAGATGCAAACGCAGGCGCTAGCACGGACCCAGTCAAGCAAACCCTAGACCACTAAAGTAACGATAAGAAGAACACTATACAATTGATGTGTAATTTAATCGTAACTAAAGCTACAGTCTTATATCACCTAAACCCTAAACTGTGATGCTCGTCAACATGCAGACCACAAGCAGTTCTGATGGACCCTGCAAAAAACGAATAGTTTTGCGTGCAAGCTTATTCACCCCCCCCACCCAAATACCCAATAGCCCCAGGTACGTAAAACAAAACCAGACTTCGTGCACCACTGTATACACCAAAGGTGCGGGTTATCCGAGGCATATCTTATTCTAACTGTTAGATATAATTATAAGGGGCCCTGAGGAATTACCATGTTAGGCTACCATATATATATATATATATATATATATATACACACACATATATTGCTACCGGGGCACTGGGAACGCCGCTGGGGGTTGCTGCGCTGGCGCAGAGGGGTGCGGCTGACTTGCCTTTCAGGGTCAAAAAGGTCCGAAACGCGGTAATGTTGTTCTTAGAGGCTGAATACCCTAGCCCAAAAAAGGTTACTCTTTTCAAGTGTGGTAGGACTGTAATTAAACACCCCACAAGGTTGAAGGACACCTACTCAGCTACTAAAGGTTGCGCTTCAAGCTTCAGCTGCCTCGCGGCCTCAAGGGTGCGTAACCCCCATATCATTATAATTATGCCTTAGAAGTGTCCTTCATGACCATGTATTCGTACTTTAGGGTCACACTAAATACGCTATCTGCTGTATACCTGTCTATCTACCTATATCTATCTAAACACATACATATCTACACATATCATATAACTATATCTATACCTATAACTCTCCCTGTACATATGCATATAAATATACAACTGCCGATGCATGATATACATATGACATGAATCATATGAAAGGTTGTTTATAACATCTGCGTGCATGGTGTATACATATATATATACATATGTGTGCATGTGTGTGTGTTTGCACATCCATCCATCCATCCATGCATGCATACATACATACAGACAAATATACACATCTACATACACATGGGACAACGAACCATTCATAAGGATACAGGGTTTAAAAGCTTGCAGGTGCCTGTGACCTCCGCGCAAGGCTCTGCGATCACTGAAGGGGAAAAAGCTAAGATACTTTGGCCACCAGTCATGGCTTTAGATTTAAACTCATCATTGAGTACCTATAGTCTCCATTGTAGTTCCTTTTTTGGTTAACCAAAATCTCTATTATAAAAATGGCTAACCAAACAAAGGAACTACAATGGAGACTATAGGTAAACTTTAAAATTGATGAGGCGTACTCTGCTTCGTCGTCCTCTCCGTCTTGCGTTAGTTACTGCCTTTTTCCAGCCTTCCACAGCTGAACCCTAGGCTCCAGGTTACATATAGTGGCTAACCACATATTATACACCCCAGTATCCTACTACTAGTATTTAGGTAACTGGAGCCATATAGGGTCAATAGAAAGCATCGATCGTGGTGGAACCGGCACTGGCCTGCTGGTGTTGCCACCGCCGCTGCGGCACCTGCGACGACTGTGGTGGCGCCTGCTGCATCTGTGTCGGCTGCTGTGGTTGCAGCGACTGTGGCTGACGGTAATGTGCTCCTGCAGAATTTGCGTAAGGATCTAGTGTAGGTTGTGCGGATGGGGGCTCTGCTGCAAAAGCCGCCGGCTGTGCTGGCTGCGTTGGATATTGTGGCTGCTGGTAATTCTGATGTACACCTGGCACTGCAGAATGCGGTGGATACAGCGGTTGCGGCTGCTGGCAAGGCTGATGCGGAACGCCGGAAGGGTGGGCCCAGGAATCCAGCAGCGGAGGTTGTGCGGGTGGAGCCTGTGCTGGAAAACTTGCAGGTTGTGCCGGCTGCGGTACCTGTTGCGGCGTCTGCGAGGGCGGTGGCTGCATGGATTGTGATTGCGGGTGTGGCTGGCGCAGGCCTGAATAATTCGCCCAAGGATCCGGCGTGGCTTGTGCGCGTGCGGGCTCCGCCGGGGAGTGAAGGTCGGGATCTCGAGAGCCCCGAGAGATTTCTATAGTTCCGTCCAGCTCGTTGATGCGAACAAACCCACCGGTGACACGCCACTTGTTCCAAGCCAAGGGTCCTCAGCTCTAGTGCTTGCAGCAGCTATACACAAAAACACATATGCGAAAATGAAAAATCAAAGCAGGAGGTCGGGATGTAGCACTGCGGCTCGTCCCAATGAGTGTAAAGCAATAACCGGCAAGCCCTTTATCAATCGAAACGCTCAGACTCCACAAACACCATCAGGAAAGCCTGGCAACGCACTCCAGCAATGACGACTCCCTCGGCGGTGTACTTCCCATCATACAAAGCTCTCCAGTGCTTGTCAGCTCCCAGATGTTCGGAATATCCACGGTGTATATCACAGAACCTGCTGTGTCGATAGAACCTATAGTCTCCATTAGAGTTCCTTTTTTTGGTTAACCAAGATCTCTATTATAGGATCCTAACCATAAAACTGGTTAACCAAAAAAAGGAACTGCAATGGAGACTACAAGAAGCATGCGAATCATGCATAGTGTGTAATGCTAAGCTCACCCATAATCTCCATTGTAGCTCCTTTTTTGGGTCAACCAAGATTTAAGTTCAAAACGTCCTAACCTTCGCAGCACAGGTTGACCAAACAAAGACCACTATCATGGACATTATAGGTAAAGCTGCTACCTTCCACTACAGGCTGACAAACCTCAAGGACAAAGCAAGCGACAATTAGGTAGTAATAAGTCTAGGCGGTGTAGGATGCGTAGTCTTTAGGCTGTGAGGTTGCAGGTTTTAAAGTTTAGGGTATAAGAGACAAGTACTTTGGTCCTAAATCAGCTGGTCAGCTCTTACTTGTTGGGGAGGACTTGCTGTTTGGGCCTTCGGCTTCGGGCTTTTGACCGGTAGATGGACAGATAGATCGATGGATAGAGAGAGCCAGAGAGAGAGAGATAGAGAGAGAGAGAGAGAGAGTGAGAGAGAGAGAGAGACAGACAGACAGACAGACCGACCGACGGACAGACAGACCGAGCGACCGACAGCCAGCCAGACAGACAGACAGACAAACGGAGAGAGAACACAAGATCCTTAGTCTGCGAAGTTACCCGAAAATGCAGTCAATTTTTTGAGATGGACGTGTCGAAACAACCATGAGCCTGTACACATGTGTACATATAGATACCTATATATAAATAGATACATATAAATATATACACACAAAAACGTACGCCGTGGATGGGGGGAGCTTTGTATACAGCATTTTGTGCTTCGGCACATCAAAAATCAACGACTATGATGTCATGTTGCCAAAAAGGAAACTAGACATAGCTTATCCAGTAGTCATGTATATACACTTATATATAAATATATTGGTATGCATCTGTATATGAATATGTATGGTAGCAGTAGTAGTAGTAGTAGTAGTAGTAGTAGTAGTAGTAGTAGTAGTAGTAGTAGTAGCCAAACGCTGCCAGTTTCACTGCTTTGGTTTAGGGGCTTAGGGCTGCGGCCTTGAGGGGTTGTGGTTTCAGGGCTCTTTGAAGTCTTCAGGGCCCTACTTAAAGGATCATCATGGGACTTAGTAACTATAGGGTTCTTTAAAGGGCTCCTTAAAAGGGATCTATATGGGTTCTATAAGAGGCGCCTTAGGGCTACTTAAAGGATCATGGGACTTAGTAACTAAGGTTATTATTAGGGTAACTATACTTATAACTGCTTATAACCCCAACTAGGGTACTTATAACCATACTTACTAAGTCCCATGATCCTCCAAGTAGAGGAGTCGCAATTGTGGGCTTTCTTTGAGGTCTTCGGGCTTACAATGCCGAGGGGCCTTAATAAGTAGACGAGGGTTTTGGGTGCCTTTGTAGTGTAATATTGTATAATAAGGAACCCTAAGGATTCATATGGGTGGATTATTGAGGCTTATGTAGTAGGGGAATGGGAGATAAAATGTCGGGAAACCTCGAGTAAGCCTAGCCCTAACCTCTTGAAGGAAAGCATGCTGACTGGCAGCTTGCACTGGGGCTGGATAGCGCCCAACATGTCCTCGATGATCCTTGGCTAACTTGTGAGCCGTAGCCTTCTTGGCCCCAAGGAACAAAACAATACACAAGGCCAGCAAGTCAAGCCCTACTAAATCCAAAACCCTAAATTCCTAAACCCTGAACCCTACACCCTAAATCCAAAACCCTAAACTACTAAACCCTGAACCCTGCACCATAAATCCCAAACCCTTAATTACTAACACCTGAACCCTACACCCTAAACCCAAAACCTTAAAGCCCTGAAAAAACCGCCAGAAAACAGCCGAGGATCTTAGCCCTCGGAGTCATGGCCGCTTTGAAAGCAAACCTGGAGTTCCTTCGAAGATTCACACTTTGGGAGTCAAGGGCTACCTATAGTCTCCATTGTAGTTCCCTTTTTGACCAGTTTTATGGTTAGGAACCTATAATAATGTATAAGGAATCCCAGCACCAATTGCCCTTAATCAGGTTTCCAACTTTTTGGGGCTTACTGTAGAGGTTCAGGTTGCAGGAATGAGGGTTTAGCCCTGTACGTCTCAGGGCCGTTACGGCTTGTTTTAGGGTTGAAGTAGAGGGTCAGAGGGTTCAGCAGTATGGGCTTGGACGGGTTCGATGCTGATATCGGGGCCTTAACGAACTAGAAGATGGTATAGGTGCAGAGTATACTGTCGCATTCGGCCACAGGTTTTGAGAGTGTCATGCACGGGCCTTAACAATTGTTGCGATGGGTTCTATGGCACATACAGCATGTGTACACATATAGACGAGCACACAAAAACAATATATATATATATATAAATATAAATATATATCTATATACATATATGTACATACATATGATATATATATATATATATATATATATATATATATATATATATTGATAAATATATATATATATATATATATATATGTATGTGTGTGTGTATATATATATATATTGATATATATATATATATATATATATATATATATATATGTACATATATATATATATGTACATACATACATACATACATACATACATACATACATACATACATATATATATATATGAGGCTGTTGGTCCAGTTCTTTCATCCCGGAATGACCTTTGCCATGTAACAATACTTTCACGGCACCATTGGGGACATTTCGCGAAGGCATACTCTGCACTGGAGTTGGCCTTTCATCCAAATTTTGACCATTACATCAAGTGCTTGATTTATTTGTCACTACATGTATTGCCTGTATTGTATATGTGTATCTACACAGAAAGACAGAGATAAAGAAAGAGATAGAGAGAGAGAGAGAGACAGAGACAGAGACAGAGACAGAGACAGACAGAGAAAGAGAGATAGAGAGAGAGAGAGAGAGAGAGAGAGAGAAAGACAGAGACAGGGAGAGAGAGAGAGAGAGAGAGAGAAAGACAGAGAGAGACAGCGATATAGAGAGAGAGAGAGAGACAGAGATACAGAGAGAGAGAGAGAGAGAGAGAGAGAGAGAGAGAGAGAGAGAGAGAGAGAGAGAGAGAGAGAGAGAGAGAGAGAGAGAGCGAGCGAGAGGGAGAGAGGGAGAGAGAGAGAGAGAGAGAGGGAGAAAGAACGAGAACGAGAAAGAGTCAGCGAGAGACAGACAGAGAGACGGAAAGAAAGACAATCGGGGATCGTACTACTTGCTATTACTACGACTACTACAATTACTACGACTACTACGAGGACTACTACTACTACTACTACTACTACTACTACTACTACTACTACTACTGCTGCTACTACTACGACTACTACGACTACTACTTCCACTACTACTGTAGTTGCTACTGTTTATTCCGACCTCTACGTAATGCTCTCGGGGCTGTGCTTCATCTATCATAATGGTCAGTAATGGTTGATAACTTAAGGTACTTCGGAGAGTAGCCAATGTACCTTCAGGAAAAGAATTGGCACCGGAATAAGCATGTATATACTTTGTTGTTTATACCCGAAACCCTAGTATCCCCCGCCGGTTCCAAGTTCACTGGCACAGCATCTGGGATTCAGAAGCTTATATGCTGGAGGTTCACTACAATGTACGCTAAACCCGAGCCCCTACACCCTGAACCCATACACCCTTCAACTTCAAACCTAGCCCCCACAAGCTCTCAGCACTTATTCATACAGGGTTTTGCGGCAGAACTGAGCCTAAAACCCCGGGGCCGGGGCCTCCACGGTCCAGCTCAGAGTTGAAGGCTTCAGGGTTCAGGGTTAGGGGCCTTGGGTTTCGCAAGGCTACTGAGGCCCAGCCGAGTGACAGGGGTGCATGGTATGGGCCCTAAACCCTGAACCCTAGATGCCCAGCCGAGTGACAGGTGCGCATAGGCCCGGTAATCACCGTTAGGATCTGTCGCATGGCTGCATGGCTCCTCTAGCCTTGTCCGGTGCTTCTGTCGCTAAGGGTCGGGGTACCTCATTATCATTTACTCTCCAAAATAGTAACCTACCTGATTACTATCCTCAAACCGAATACCTAATTAGTGGGTCCTTTGGACCCTTAGGGCAGCAACGTAGCAGGAATAGTTGGAAGCGTGTTTGGGGTATTCTGTAAAGGAACCCTGCAGAGTAGTATCGGTACAGCGCCTATTAGGGTTCTGGCTCTGGGTTCTTGGAACCCCCAAAAAATGTGAGTAAACAAATGGCCCAAATAACAGACTGGTATTCTGCATACTGTTGGCATCCAGGAAGGCCTGATCCTCAGTTGGACTACCCCTAAACCCTAACCCTTGAACCCCTAAACCGGTACTCCCTGCAGGCTGTGCTAGGTCGGAGCAGCCAAGGAGAAGAACCTTCGGGGGTGTGAGTGACAGCTTGGGAGCAGCATAAAGTAGGGGCCTTACTAATTAGAAGAGGGCTCCCTTTAAAGGGATCCCTAAAGGTGTCTCTAAGAGATCTGTCGCTAGAACTATACCTATAGTCTCCATTGTAGTTCCTTTTTTTGATTAACCAAAATCTCTATCATAGGATCCTAACCATAAAATAACTGGTTAACCAGAAAAAGGAACTACAATGGAGACTATAGGTAGTAAGGAACCCCCAAAACCCTATGCGAATTGTTAAGGCCCCCTTATAAACTATACTAGAGAATTGATCATCAAGTGCGGATTAGTCAACATGTTTACAAGAGTTTAGCGGGATTCCAAGAGAGGCAGCACGGTCTGGTGACTGCTAGTACATGCAAGGCTCCTAGCAGTATATTTTGCGGCGATGCCCACGGGATGAAGGCTTGATAAGCAGCAGCTGAGCAAAGACAAGCTCTGCCTTCAGCACTGCGGTGACCCTTCTACCCCTGTAAAGCTGGGAGTTTAGGGGTACCTTATTTTGGGGTCCTTATAATAAGGAACCTACTATTCAGGGTACTATACTAGGGTCCCCTATTTTCGCAAACCCCCAACTGGATTCGCTGTGAGGCCAGGAAGCTTGAGAAGTACTTGAGAAGGACTGCGACTACGTATGCTGCAGTCTCTGTTAGGGCTCATGTTCTGTCACGGCCCCACAGTCTCTCATCGCCTACATCGCTTTAGGGTGCGCATGTAGAGACAGAAAACAGCCAAGACGTCTTGCTCTCTTACATGCTGTAGTGGTATCAAGATGTGGCCTACAACCTAAACCCTAAACCCTAAACCCTAAACCGCACATCCGAATTGCAAGGTCGGCCACTAGGAGTCCCGACAGGACCCTTTACATAATCGGGTGAAGACTCTACAGCACACTGTTCCTTCAGCTCTTAATGGCTCTTGAGATTGTAGAACTGGCAGCACTAAACTCCAAACCAAAACCCTAAACCCTAAAACCTAAACCAAAACCTTAGACCCTAAACCCTAAACTAAACCCTAAATCCGATCTTAGGGCTGGGACTGACCTTCGGTTTCGGTTGTAGTACTCTTTCTATTTCACCTACTTTATATTTAGGGTTCATAATAAGAAGGCAACCTCAAAGCGAACTACAGTGGAGAAACGAGAGAGAGAGAGAGAGAGAGAGAGAGAGAGAGAGAGAGAGAGAGAGAGAGAAGAGAGAGAAGAGAGAGAGAGAGAGAAAGAGAGAGAAAGAGAGAGAAAGAGAGAGAAAGAGAGAGAAAGAGAGAGAAAGAGAGATAGGTACAGAGAGAGAGGGAGGAAAGAGTTTAGGGTGTCGGATACACGGCTCAGGGCTTTGGGCTTAGGGTTGAAAGGCTTTGGATCTTTGGGCTTTAGGGTTTCGGGCTTGGGGTGGGGGGTTGGATTTCAGGGTTTCAGGCTTGGAGGTGGTAGGCAAAATCATGGCTCAGGCTACTCTTCTGCATACTTTTGGTCCAGGTAGGTTTTGGGGCGTCGGGGGTTCTCAGGACGTACTTCGCACACTGTAGCAACTCAGGATTTGAGGAGTTTAGATTTTGCGCGGGCAGTTCTCCAAGTTAGGATCCGTTTCCGGGTCCTTTCTAAAGTGCGCTACCAGTCTTGGGACCTACAACGGACTCTACTTTGGAAAACTACTCATATACAGCGAGGGCGATCGAAACCACATCGTTGCCCAGAAAGCCCTATAATCCTTAAAATCCGACACACCAAACCCTGAATTCTTATGAACCCTAAACCCTAAATCACCAAGGCTTAAACGACTCTGCGGGTGTTGCGCTGAGCCACACATGCCAGATGCCCTCTTGGGGAAGCTTCGAGAAATCGGCAGAGTGTGTCTGCACCTTAGTTGCTGAGTGCATAAGCCCACCGGAAGTGTACACTTTCAGTCTACGCGGGATCCTTAAACCCAAAATCCCTCAATCTCTAAACCCTATACACCCCTAAACCTCTTAAAACTCATATTATTCCAAGAAGTGTACCGCGTACTTTGCTGCTAAGGCACATAGGGAGCTGCAGAGGGCCTCGGTGCTTCTGGCATCCCCTGGGAGCTTACCCAAAGGCCCCAAAGTAGTTCCTTTTTGGGGTTCATATATAGAATCCTATAAGGTAATCCAAAAAGGAACTACTTTGGGGCCTCTGGGTATTCAGGGCTTAGTAGCCCTTGCGTTTCTAGGTCATGGTTGGGATAGTATTTTCCTTGTTAAATTCTTTATTGGGTTCAAGTTTATTAAGTAGCCATCCAGATGTAGAATGTCACAAAGGTTTATAGGGTCTTGGGTTGGGTTTAGGGTATATTGGTTCGGGGTTTGTTTAGGGTTCAGGGTTAGGGTTTCGGGGTGCAGGGTTCAGAGTTGGGGATGGGGGGAGGTGTGGTTGGGCAGCATTTAGGGTTGGAGCATCTAAAGGTTTGGTCCGCATGGCGTACGGCTACTGGTGTCTGAAGCAACGACCACTGTGTGATGACTACTCTAAGGAGTTCAGGTTCATGGAAGAGCAGTGCTGAAAGCCAGGTGTTTAACAACCCTATCCTAGTTATAAGTTCGGTATACCTGCTACAAGAAGCGTAAGCACCCCACACACAAGGGTCGGGCTACCACCCTCGAGGCAGAAACCCTGAACCCTAAACCCTTAAACCATGAAGCCCTAAACCCAATGCCGTAAACCCCAAAAGCCCTAAACCCTTTTAACCCTCCCTAAACCAAGGACCCTAAAACCATAAAACCTGAAACTCTATATAAAGCCTAAACTAAGCCTGAACCTTGAAACCCCAGGCTGCCCTGTAGGTGGGGGAATTGGCTGACCACAAGGCCTTCAGTATATCCGGCTCTACATAAAAGTTGCCCTACCGTGCAAAGATTTCGGGTTTAGGGTGTTTGTTTCTGAGCTTAGGATAGGGTCCCGCAAATACCCTCAACCGAAATCTATCCTCTAACCCTCTACACTACACCCTAAGGCCCTACAACTGTGTGCTTATACCCGCATGTGCCATTGAACCCTCAGCCGGACACACCGATCCGTTGAGAGGTTTGCACTTGCGTGTCAAGGCCCGCAGACAACAACAAGCTAACACGCCCTAAGCCCTTTATGCAAATGGAGATTAGGGGCTTTAAGGTTTAGGTCCACGGCACACACCCGTTTAAACCGTGTAAACGCCCAACACTTGCATCCCTTGTTTCCCCTCTCCTGCACAGTCGGAGGCGGTCCGGCAGCAGAAGCAGGTTGGGAAGCCGCAGACATACCAGAAAGACCTCCGACTGATAAGCTTCCAGCTACTCAAGATACAGTGTTCAGGTCAATAGGGGTCAGTATCTATAAAGGCTTGGATACTGCTCTTTTCCTACATGAACCTAAACTGTGGTAAAGTGTTTCATATTCTAGGGACAACGAAGATCTCACACGAAGTACCATAAATCCCTGGTGCAGGCGGAGCTTTTCCACCTGCTTCCGCATCGGTGGCGTAAGTCTGCATTTCGATCGGTTAGATCGAAGTAGATCTTCCGTACAGGAAAGATCGGGGTTTCCTTCTGGGAGGACCGACTGTTTCCCAGGCGGTTCTCGCAGACTGGAAGTAGAGGAAACTCGGAGATTAAAAGAGGGATGAGGAGGGTGGGTGAAACAAAGTTTCAAGCTTTCGAAGCTTATGCCAAAATGGCCACGGGACATGCATAAGTTCGAAGGAATCGGTGAGTAAATCCACAGACCGATTCGGTGTGATGGTGAGATATGAAGTTGTCACTCCGCACAAACAAGTGTGTGTGCTACACATATAAGTAAAGCACGCGATTCACAGGGCTTCAGTTCCGAATCGGCGACCGTGCTTCCTTTGGGCGGTGCTGAATGAGGCTTTAGGGATTTCGGACTGCGCTTTTTGGACTTCGGGGAGCGGTTTCGTTGAGGACGTAGGGTTTAGGGTTTAGAGTTCATGGAAAATTTTGACGGCCGATGACAAGCACCCAAAGCAACGATGCACTGTACTTTGCGGACCTCTTCCCAGAGAGGGAAGGGCTGGCCTCTAAAGCCTTCAGTCAGCTCCACACAGTACAGTTCCTCCTGAGGTTGAAACCCAGACTAAACTCTTATTTAGATTCAGACTCGCATTTAAGATGCGAGACTTACGTTCTCATCTCAACATCCTCGTTGACCTCGTCACCCTGCGCCCCCATTGCCCCCACAAAAACCTCCACTCACATCCGAAACCACACAAACAAACTGCTGACCAGGAACTTGGTGGGCCCCCCCGAAACGATGGCGTGTAGGAGGAGGGAGTTTGCCCTTCCGCAGCGTGGAAGCCCCCGTTGCTCAAGGCTGGCCCATTATCAGCCTTGGCCACGGGAAACCCACCTCGAACCCTAAGCCCTGAAACCCTGTAAGCCTCCACCAGCCCTGACTCGGGGCCTGTTTAAACCCCAGTGGCCCCACTGAACGCAAAGCTACAATCCCAAAGAAAGGCTGAACGGGTTTCATCGAGCACCAAACACCTGGACTGATAGACTATCTCCCTGAAGCAGGCACTGATTGACAACATGGAGACCGTGTATGCAGTGCGAATGATTGTTGTGTCTGCGGTCTTGCGCGGACTTTGTGGTGGGCTTAAGCTTCGACAAGCTGTGACCAAAACATTGCAAGCAAACATAAGGATGGGGATATCCCATATAAACCCCCTTATAATGAAGCCCAACAAGGTAGGGATACCCCTTTAAAATGCTTATGCTTATGTGGGTCCCTAATCCCGACCTCGGGTCTCCCCTGTGGTTTCCTTGGTGGCTTTGGCCAAGTTTCTGTGTTGGGGTCTTAGTTTGATGGGAGGCCAAAAGGGGGGTTTAAGATTCTTGGGGTAGGGATTCCTTAATATGAATCCTATTATGGGAACCCTAATCACGACTAAAACCCCATAGGCTAAAACCCCTTTTGGCCTCCTATGATAGTTGTAAGGCACCCCACGGAAGAACTACAAGGGGGACGACCGGTGTGTAATCCTGTGAACCGGAGCCCTGGACGTCTGCCACCATTGAACGACCGGGGCGGCCAGAGCATAAGCGCTGAAGATCGTAACTACCTATAGTCTCCATTGTAGTTCCTTTCTTTGGTTAACCAAAACCTCTATTGTAGGATCCTAACCATAAAACTGGTTAACCAAAAAAAGGAACTACAATGGATACTATAGGTAGGACCGGTCTCACAGGCACGAGGGGCTGCACAGCCTCAGACACCCAAGTGCCTGAACAAAACTCTACGCCCTGAACTGCCAATCCAAAACCACTGCCGAAGACGGCCATTGAAATTCTGGTAGTTTCATGAGGAGACCGGAAGCCATGCCACAAACTGTGGCCGAATGCCAACCGCGAAAGCTGAAAGGAAGCCTTAACACAACAAGCGTCATTCAAGATTTACTCCAATCCTAAGCCCTGCACACTAAAGCACCAGTTAAAGACAAACTCGAACCCTAGAACTATCTTCTTCAATAACCGGCCGGGCCCAAGAAAGTTCGAACTTCCAGAGATAGACCAAGTATGTACGGCCAAAAGTTTAAAGTTCCCCCCTTGGCGTTGAAAGGAAACTGCTCCCAGGAACCCTACAAAGCAACCCACGGCCTGGTCGCAGCGGATACCCATAGGCTCCATAGTAGTTCCTTTTCGGGATGACCTTATAGGATTCTATATATGAACCCCAAAAAAGAACTACTTTGGAGCCTCTAGGTAGAAATGTGATGCCCCGGTCCTGTTTATGCTATTATCTCGGGGGAAAAAATTAAGGGGATCATTTTGAGATCGCAGATGGGATCGAGGCACTAGGCAATCAAACACACAATGGGAATAATACAACACAAAACGAGATTGGGATCCCGTGACATTATGACTTTAATGTCTTTCCGACTTGGTTGGAGGGCACACTTGGCATCTGCTGTTTCGCTACATTTGTTCCCATGGTCCCTGCGCGGCCCCGATCCATCACGTTTTTTCATTATTGCTCCCATGCTTTGTGTTTTGTTCATTTTGGGTTCATTTTTTGTTCCATTTTCATTTCTTCCAACTGCTTCAGGGAAATTGTGCTTTTTCCATGTGGAGGCCCCTTGGGACGGAGCCCAAATCACGCCCTCACGGCATGGAAAACAGATGGGAACGACACCAAACTCAGAATGCTTGTCCAGGCACCTGTCGCCTCCTAGGTTTCTGAGTAACCCCTTTATAATAAGGCTACCCTTTTTCCTACTACTCGGTTTTAATAAGGGGACCCTAAACTAAAAAGGGCGAAAGGGCACTACTCAGGAACCTAGCCTCGGATCGCCTGGCAGTCTTGTTTGTGTTCTTTTGTTTTTGTTGTTGTCTGTTCCACGCTTGTTTTCGTGTTTCTGGTGATCTTTCCATTCCCTGGGTCGGTCCTGGTCTCTTGTTTTGATGTTTGTGTCCATTACCCAAGTACCCATATAGTAGGTACTCAGGCCTTAAAGTAGCCACATAGGGACCCCCTTAAGGCCTAAGTACCTACTATATGGGTACATGGAGCTCTAGGGTTACATTTTCCAATATTCTTTAAGTTTTCTTGTTCGTGGTCTTCATAGAGATATCAGGCGAGGGGCCATCATAAGTTTAGAAGTTAGGTCAAAGGGGAAAAGGAGGGACCATAATTGGCTATATAATGGGTATATAATAGCTATATTAAGGGTATATACCTAGGGGTCCTTATTAAGGCTCCCTCCTTTTACCCTTGGATTAGGGTTAGGGCCTAGGGCTTGGTGGGGGCTATGCGGGCTTTTCTTCACCCACTGTTCCAGGTGCTAGGGATCTAGTCTTTCAGGGCTGAAGACTTAAGGTGCAAGATTTGAGAGCTGGTGTAAAATTGCAATAACAATTTAGGAGGGTTTGGGTAGTACTGCAGATTTCCTAGACTCAGACCCCCTAAACCCTAAACCATAAAGCTCAACTGCCGAGCAGCTGTGAAAGGGAGAGCCTTTCTGGCAGAACACTGCCCTTTGCAAATGAGCACCTGTCCGTGCCTGGGATGTCTTGATAGGCTCTCTCTGGCCTCGAGCTTTAAAAACCCTCGACTAGGGCTTAGGGTTTAGGGTATAGTTGGGCCAAAAGAACCATCCAAAAGGATTGAAAATTAGGATTCCGGAATCCAACTGATAAAGGTCTGCTACCCCCCACGGCAGGACCTTCAAATTAGAAGCCTTTTCGGCCCTACTTCTAGCTTTCAAGCTTGCGGTTTGTTGCTCTGGTTTCGGCTTTCGGAATTAGGGGTTTAGCATTTCGGGTTTCGGGTTGAGGGTTTTGTTTCAGAAGCCTTTGTAGAGTCTCAAGCTGATGAACATTTCAGGTTAGAAGGTGAGCAAAGGCTCTGCAGCCACAGAAAGGTGCAAGCAGATGGTGCTTAAAGAGTTTAGGATGCAGGGTTTAGGGGCCTGAATAATTACCTGCACTATTTTGGGGTTTCCGTATTATAAGTATCGTATAATTAATATGAATGCTATCGGCACGAAGCTTTCCTGCGGAACTAAACCAGTAGGGTTTCTAGGACTTCAGGTGCTCGCGGTCGTTGGGTGAGTTCTGACTCTCGGGAACTCCTGATTAACGATAGAGGGGTGCCATCGAGAGAGACTTCGTGCATAACAACCCCGTTTACACCACCGACTTTCCTACATCCCTCGGCCCTCCGCCCTTTCTGAAGCCACAAAACCATGGAAGATCGGCGTGCTACAGACGCATGTACCATGATGTAGGGACATGCCTCTTTCACTTTGGTTTCAGAAAGGGTGCCCTGATTGTGGCGCAAGTTGTCTGAAGACTAAGCGCTCCGTACTGCATTCAGAGCCTAAACTCCTTGATGCGATGCCATGTCGACGAGGCCGAGAAGAATACCTCACACCTTCAGCCATGAACTGCGGAACCCGGATCGCAATCTTACCCCGTAACCCACACCTACAGGGCGCTCTACATGTTAACTCTTCCTCGGGCGCCAGTTACCTAAATAGTAGGTCACTGAGTGTAGCATCCACTTATTTAGGTAATTGGAGCCCAGGGGTCGATTATAGGACCCTCAACCCCAAACTCGCCCGCCAAACCCTTGAACGTCACAGAGCCGCAAGCGGCTGACTCTCCTTAACCAACCACCAAAACTCAACCGTTCCTCCATCCTAAACCCTAAACCCTAAACCCCTAATGTAGGAACCTGATTCAGAAACCTTGGGCGTTTGTTGGAGTTCCTTATATGAATCTTACTTTTTCGGATGTTATAGCTCCAGAATTTCTTAATCAGGTTCCTACATTAAAAAGTTCCTAAACCCTAAACCCCTAAACCCTAAACCCTAAACCCCTAAACCCCTAACCCCTAAACCCTAAACCCTAAACCCTAAAACCCTAAACCCCTAACTAACCCCTAAACCCTAAACCCTCAGCCCTATGCCCTAAACCCTCAACCGTTTCTCCATTGCAGCCGGTTGCAAATGGTTGAAACTCATGGCACGGTCTCCAGGAAGCCGCCAATGTTGATATAGTGCCTTTGCACACTCGGCCTCGGTTGTCAAAGAAGTCATTCCCTTAGAGTTTATAGGGTTTAGGGGTTAGGGTTTAGGACCTTCATCAAGGAAGAACGCTAAGTCATCATAATTTTGCGATAAGGCCTATTTTACGAAGTATAGTCCCCTACTCCCCTCCCCCTTACCCCCCTAAGGGTCCCTATGAGACTGTCAAAGACATCATACAGTACCCCCGTCATCAAGGAAGAACCTGAAGTCATCACTACGAGCTCTATATGATTCAACCTACAACACACTCCTCGCTTGATGATCTGAACTTAGAACCCTAGCACAAATTACAATTTTGGCTGTTTCTTAGGGATTTTAATAACCAAAAATACTGTTTCTAAGTACCCCTAAGGATGGAGCAGGCACCATCTTGGCATGGATTTCCAGCCGCTCGCAGGAAGATGACCCAAACTCCGAACCCTCAAGTCCGAAAGCCTCTAGTTCCTAACCCCTAAAACCCCAAACCCCAAAGCACCTAAACCCTAAACCCTAAACCCTAAACCCTAACCCCTAAACCCTAAACCCTAAACTCCAAAACCCTGAAAACCTACAGCCCTAAACCTAAACTCCTAGCCCTAAACCCTCTAGATCCCTTTAAAGGGGAACCTTATAGATCCCTTTAAGGGCCCCTTCAAATAGGGCCGTCGGAGCCCCTAAACCGAGGCCCCGTCTGCGGGCTTGCCGTCCGGCAAACGCTCCCAAAGCAGGTTGAAGTGCTGCACGGCGGGCTCTCATAAGGTTTCAGGGTTTAGGGCTTAAGGCTTCGATGGGTTATGGGTTTAGGGTTAGGGGGTTTAGGGTTTCGGGGTTTATTGCAAGCTTTGGCCTTCCTTGCCCGGGGCTCGGTGTCTATAGACTTGAGGCTTTGTAGGGCTCTTGGGGAGGATACTTTAGGGGCGTTAATAATTAGAATAGGGTTTTCGGGCCCACTATACTCTATTTCTAATAAGGAACCCCCACAATCGTATAGCTAATTATTGAGGCGCCTATGTTGCAGGTTCGCTTGTTGGATTGTTCGTTGTTCTTCGGAAGTGCGGGCTTCAGGATATTGGGGTTGAGCACCGTGGCTTGTTTTGGGCTTTAGGTCGGGGTAGGGGTTTGGGGTTTGCTAGGATGAGAAAGGATGTTGCGATCTAGCCCCGCTCTCGTTTCAGAGGTTCGGGACCTCTCAACCCTAAGGCTCCATGTGCCCATATAGTAGATTTAAAGTACCTATATAGGGGCTTGTTTCAGGGCTAAGTACCTACTTTATGGGTACATGGAGCCTTTGGGCAATAACCCTAAACCCTAAACCCTCAAGAATCAGGAACAGGGCCGCGGATATTGACAAGGTCTCTCCACGAACTTCCTGAGACCCCACATCCTACCGGTCCGATCTTGCTCAAGCTTCCACTGTTTAGGGCGTACCTATAGTCTCCATTGTAGTTCCTATGTGGTTTCGCCAATTATATATATATATATATATATATATAGTATATATATATATATATATATATATATATATATTACTAAAAGGTAACCCCAAAAAGGAACTAAAATGGAGACTATAGGTCTAGACCCAAGAGTAACCTAGGAGCAAAAAGGCTGCCCTTTCTGGTTTAAAGGAATTGATAAGAAACCTGAACCCTATAAAAAGGGAATAAGGGTCTACTCTGGGTCCTAGAGGTAGCATGTGCGGCCCACAGCTCCGGGTTCTGGGTCGACCTCAGCCCCACAAGCCGTACCTTGCGTTTAGGATTCCTACAATCCGGTTTAGGGTTTAGGGTTTAGGGTTGATGGTTTAGGGTAGCATCTAACTCATAAAGGCCAGAGACACGAGGCAAAAAAAGGGGGCTGAAGCAGAGCATGCCGTACACACTAAAACACTCATGCTTTCACACCTTAAAACTTCGCAGGCAAATGGAAAACCCTAAAGCCTATACCTCGAAAAGCCTGACTTTAAGCCTAACGCCCTAGAACCCTAAACTCTAAACCCTCAAAGCCCGGAACCCTAAACCTAAACCCTAAGTTCACAAATCCCAAACCATAAGCTTCCAAGTGTCCTAGATGGTTTAGCCAGATACATAAATAAATAACTATATACATATATATATATATATATATATATTATTTATTTGTTTATTTATATTCATTTGTATTCATGTTTTAGTTAAAAGGATCTTAACCATGAAGTTGGTTAGCCAAGCAATATAATGGATACTATAGGTATAGTCTCAATTCCTGTGTCGGGTTCCGCGATAATAGGATCCTACCGGTACAGATCAAAGCGATTTAGGGTTTAGGGTGAAACTTACAAAAGGGAACTGCAATGGAGTCTCTAGGCACTCTGGAGAGATTCTCAATTTCGGGTCTACCTATAGTCTCCATTGTAGTTCGTTTTTTTGGCTTAACGAAACATAAAATGAGGATCCTATAACGTAGCCCCAAAAAGGAACTACAATGGATACTATAGGTAGGGTGCAGGGATTAGTTTGTGCTGGGTTTAGCTTTGAGGATTAGGGGTTGCTTACACCATCGCCGCACTAGCGGTTAGACATGATCTGCGCAGGTGTCTGCTTTATTTATAGGCCTGAATAATCGATTGCCAATATCATGTCTCAGGGTGCCTCCTCACCCCCAAACTTGTCGGCATGTGTGCCTTCTTCGCTGGAAGGTGCTCGGCGAACCCAGCAGGATTGGTACAAATGTCACCTCTGTCAGCCACGAAGGCTTCACCACGAGGTTTAGGGGTTATAGAGCTTAGGTCCCGGCTTAAGATTTAAGGTTTAGGAGTTTTAGGGTTGACAGTGAACCCTAGTTGAAACATGAACAGAAAATGACTCGTGCTGGGATTCCACTACCATGGCTTCCATGCACCAGATTGTCGGCCGGTCGACTGTGTGGTCACTCTACCTGGTTATCTGTCCCTTTCTGCTACATGCACGTCCGAGTCTGCATACGTGCAAACGCATACCCCGAGAACCGTGCATCACTGGCGACGCGACCTTGAATCCTAAACCCAAAATCCTACCTGCTCCTAAAAGTATGCAGGGTACTGGCCTTTTGTAGGTGTTGGGCCACTGTTTTACATACCTTTTGGGGGTGTAGGTGGGGCCCTTGACCCCTAAAACCCTAAATGCAGCTTAGAGGCAGTCAGGATCAATGTTGAAGGAATGCAGGAGCTTCTCGACAAGTTGTGCCTTGTGGGAGCAGGATAATGATAATAACAGCGTCAAGATAATTATAGTAACAAATAGCGCCAGTCACAATCCCAAAGGGTCTTATGTACCGATATAGTAGAATGTAGGGTTTCCATATATTAAGAATTACTACTATGACTTAGGGAAGTATCCCCATAACAGTACATGGGACCCGTTGGGAATAACAATAGAAAACAATGATAAAAGTAACATAACCATAATCCCAAAGGCTCCATGTACCCATGTAGTAGGTACTTAGGCCTTAAAGTACCGATAAAGGGACCTCTTTAGGGCCTAGACTCGGGCTGAGGGCTAAGAAAGGTCCAGGCGACTTAGTACCAGAAGCCTACTTGGAGGATCATGGGACTTAGTAAGGTTCCTTAAAGGGCTCCTTAAAGGGATCTATAGGGTTCCTTATAAAGGGATCTATAGGGTTTAGGGTTTAGGGTCTACTTGGGAGGATCATGGGACTTAGTAAGTATGGCCATACGTACCTTAATCGGGGTTACAAGTAGTTATAAGTATAGTTACCCTAGTAATAACCTAAGTTACTAAGCCCCATGATCCTTTAAGTAACCCTAAGACCCCTCTTGTAGAACCCTTGTGGATCCCTTTTAAGGAGCCCTTTTAAAGAGCCCTATAATTACGAAGTCCCATGATCCGATAAGTAGAGACTCGAATCCTGGAGCCCCAGTAGGAAGCTCACATCTGCTCAGGGTTTAGGCGTCTACGGCACTTAGTGTTTAGGGTTTTGTGGTTCAGAGCTTAGGGTTTAATGCTCGGTCTTTAGGGCTTCCAAAAAAAGGTTTAAGGGCTTTAGGGTTTAGGGTTTTTGGGTTTAGGGTTTAGGGTTTTTGGGTTTAGGGTCTAGGGTTTAGGGTACCCTATAGGGTCTTGAGTGTATAGAGTCGCCGCAGATTGCAAGACGTGATGATGGATCCGAGAGTCGCGACCTTGCATGGCCTGCTTCCACGTATGTTTGCTCGACAGCCTCGGAGCATCCAGCACAGGGTCGGGTTTCACGGTCACCCGCCTCGGGCAGATCTAAACCGTCTAAACTTTCCATTCCGAATGCAAGTCCTATCTCCCTTGATCCCTCAGCCCCAGAAGCTGTGAGAACACGTTCATATGTCAGAGATTTTTGTACCGAGCCAACGCCTGAGACACTCGACCGAACACCGTGAGAGCACGTAGGCATTCTGGATGCGGGGGGGATTAGGGCCGTAGGGGTTCGGGATTTTGGGGTTTCGGCTGTTTGACTTGGGGACGTTTTGGTTTACCGTTATTGTTATGTGCTACTTGGAGGTTCATGGGTAGTTATGAGTGCGGTTATAAGTAGGGTAACTATACTCATAACCCATATTAGGGGACTTATAACCCTACTTGTAACTACCCCTGAACCTCCAAGTAGTCGGGTTTGAGTGGTTTAAGCTTCAGTTTGGGGGCACGCTGCTGCACATGCCCTTCGCATAGCTGCATTCTGGTGTGGTGCGGCTGCACTGGAATGCTGGGCCTACTTCACTATATGCAGCTACAGCAAGCTGAACATAGAAATGCAGAGATCAAAACTAGGTTTCTGAGTAACCCCTTTATAATAGGGCTACCCTTTTTCCTACTATTCGGTTTTAATAAGGGGACCCTAAACTAAAAAGGGCAAAAGGGCACTACTCAGGAACCTAGAAAAAATCCAAGCAAAAGACTGACAACCTTGCCTCTAAGACACAACTAGACACGAAATACTGATGCCCTCACCCCCGAATCTTAAGCCGTAAATCTCAAAGCCATGGCTCTAAACCTGCACACTGAGCTTCAAAAAGCCACAACGAATCAAACTTCAGTGCGTGGTTATGGTTTCAGGTTTCTGGAGTTGGGGGCTTCTGAGTCTACTCTATAAGCCCCTCTCCCAAAGGGTCCTATGTACCGATATAGTAGAATGTAGGGTTTCCATCTACACTAAGAATTACTATTATGACTTCGGGAAGTATCCCCCATAGCAGTACATAGGACCCTTTGGGTATATAAATCCTAAGCCCTGACACTAGGGGCGTGTGCCGCTGAAAATGCGAATGTTCACGTTAGGCTCTATAAAGCTTCAAGTCGTGATGTATGTACAGGTTTGTATACATATCTTTCACCTAAGGGTCCATGTGCCCGAATAGTTCATACTTCGCCCAAAAGTGCCCAGATCGGAACTACTTTAAAGCCAAAGTATATAGATACTATGTGGCCAAATTCAACCTGAGGGTTCACACCATGCTATAGACCAGCTACATGGGCTTCAGTAGACAAGTCAAGGAACCAGTTGCACTTGTGTCTGTCGCCCTTCAATGCAGTGGGCTCCCCCACCGGTTTTGCAAGCACGTAGTTCTGGCAGGCCTGCTTGGACAAACAGTTGTTAGAGTGCCTGTTTTACGGCTGCCACGCGCGCGAGAGTTTGCGAACTGCCGTTTTGAACAAGCCCGATTGCGCATTGACGCAGAATCGAGGTTTTCTCGAAACTTTGGGGAAGTCTGAATCTAAAGGTTTTGGGTTTAGGTTGCTATAGGGCCTTAGTAACTGCAATAGGTGTTTGGTTTGGGTGTATACCCTACTGTAGGTATATTGGGGACTGGGCATACCATCTCGAAATTGTAGAGCTTCAGGAAGGCAAGCCAACACTCTGCAAGTCACATCGTAGCGTGACCCAAATTTTAAACCTCCTGCTCTGCCTAACCCTAAGCCCGACAATAACCCCCTGACATTGATCCCTATAAGCACTACCTGGACCCCAAAAGTATGTATAATAATAGCCTGTTCTAAGGTTTGGGCCATTATTTTACTTACTTTTGGGGGTCTAGGTAACAGCCAACGTTCCATCTCGTCCAGCTCCCTCAACAACCCGAGGCACAAACCTCAAAATCCCAAAGCCAAGTTCTTAACTGCCGAGACGCCGAAACCCCTCAACTCAGGTAAAATAGGGGCCTTAATCACTAGAATAGGGTTTGGGGGGGTATATTATACGACATAAGCCCCAAAGTAGTAAGCTAATTATTAAGGCCCTATAGTAGCTTTTAGAGGGATCCGCTGCCGGGGACCCCCTAGCTAAGGGATTCCGTGGGTCTTTTCGAACACAGCGAAAGTCAACAACGACCCTCGCGCGAAAGGCCTCTTTGGAATCAAGGATGCGAAAGATCCTCGGAGGGTTAAGGGGTTTAAAATCTAGGGGGTTAGGGTTTAGACGTATAGCCTTTAGGGGTTTAGCATTTAGCGGGTTAAGGGTTCACTGCTCCTGTAAACTTTCTATACGGATGCGCAAACGGACCTGCTTAAGGCTTACAGATTTAAGACCTGGTTGTGCGTTTAGGATTGGGATTTTGACTCTGGGGAAGTCAGGCTGAGGGGTTTAAGCCTCGAATTGTTCACTTTCAATCAGGCCACAAAGAAAGAAGCACAGCATGATAACTACAGAATAACCCAACGCTTACCTAGAAAACTTACCTCAAGATCTGCGTTTCTTGGGATTCGGCTCCACAGCGATGTGCATTAGGCGACAGACATGCTTGAGGATGCAGAGCAGTGAGCTATTCAGGCTATGGCATCAACACTTTTGCGCCCAGGTTTCCATGTAGCAGCACTGGTCAGCAAGAAGCCAAAAATGTGCAGAAAAAAGCTACAGGAATGCCGGGGAACTCCTGCGGCGGCATTTTCTCCACAGTTTCGAAGGGAATTGCCTGCTCAACTTGGGAGGGTAGATCAGACAATGCTAAATGGGAGTTTCCGAAAATTAGGGGGATACCTTATTTGGGGGTCCTTATAATAAGGATCCTACCATTTAGGGTACTATATTAGGGTCCCCTTCATTCGGAAACTCCCAAATGATAAATGGTAACAACCCCCACAATCAATATGCAGATACATACACACGCACACGCTGTGTCTACCTGTCTACCTGATGAGGCTTAGGGATCTAGGGCGGCTATACCCCACATGATGTTCGATCGATCTATCTGTCTATCCATCTGTCTGTTTGTGCATCTTTCTATGTAACCGTGCAGCGATCTATCGATCTGATTTACCTATCTACCAACCTACCTACCTAACCATCTGCGTATCCACCTACCTACCTATCTACCGATCAGTCTATCTATGCAATGTGTCGATGTACTTATCAATGCAATAATCTCTATGTCCCAAGCAAGCTGGAAATTTCAGAGCACTAGCTGCGAAGTGCTCATGGTTCAAAGTACATCCCATGCTTGTATCTCGGTTGTATGGGGCGATGAAAGAAACTTCTGGGCATTGGTGATCTGCTGCTTTTGGGGCTCGGGTTTAGACAGTCCAGGGCTTGGTGGTTAAAAGGTCTAAGCTCTCCGGTGAAGTCGGCAATTCTGTCGGTGGTCTTGATACTGAACCTAGTAGATGTGCTTCCGTCGGTGGTCCGGGCGGTGGGTCTAGTACCTACGTAGTTGCTGTTGTCACTGGCACAGGAAGCAGCATAATCTTCCCCCTACTTAACCCCAATATAGCGCCCTTAACAATTAGAATAGGGTTTTGAAGCCCTTCTACTAGAATTACAATAAGGAACACCAAACTGGTGTTGGTTATTATTAAAGCCCCTATGGTAGACCGTTCTCCAGGGCTTGCCAACTTGAAGTCCAAAGCCAAGACCCACAACAGTTTGCGATTCGGGATCAGTGTTTTGGGGTCTGGAGTTTGGTGTTTCAGGCTTTAGAGAGGTCTCATGACTAAGGTATGGATTTCATGTTTGGGTTTCCGCTTTAAGTGGGCAACTACAATCACGCACATTCTCGCGGACACAGAAAAGACTAGATAAGGAAGCCAGCAGGCCAAACTCCCTATCCTGGCGGGAGTCACCCCACAGACCAAGCCCCCGCCTCCATGTCGGAATGGCTGCGCAGAGTCTCGTGCTCAAATACACGAAGAGAGTTCTGATAGCACCACAGCACCTCCTATACCAGCCCACGGTAGCCATAGTTCGCAAATCCTCAAACAAGCCTTTTGTCCCATGATCTGTTCAAAAAAACTCCGTATGTCCAAAAACCCTAAACACTAAAAGACTCTAAAATTTAAAATCCCTAAATGCCCTAAACCCTAAAACACTAAAAAACCCAAAACTGAAAATCCGAAAATGCCCTAAACCCTTAAACACTAAAAACCCAAAATTGAAAATCCGAAAATGCCCTAAACCCTTAAACACTAAAAACCCAAAATTGAAAATCCGAAAATGCCCTAAACCCTTAAACACTAAAAACCCTATAGGATCCTATAATATCTAAATGCCCTACACCCCAAACGCCTAGGAGCCTAAGCTCTGGACCGGGAGCTCGCAGCTCGGGTCCAAAGTCGGGGGTCCCTCTGAGCCCAGCGCTGCCGCGGTTTGAGGGGCCATAGGGTTTAGGGGTGTTTGGGGGTTTAGGGTTTAGGGCTTAGGGTTTAGGGTTTTAAGGTTTGAGGGTTTTAGAGTTTAGGGGTTTAGAGTTTAGGAGTCATAGGGTTTGCTTTAGGGTTTAGGGCTTAGGGTTTTAGAATTTATAGGGTTTAGGGCGTAGGGCTTACAGGTTATAGGCTACAACGTTTGGTTTAGGATCCAGGGCTTAGGACATAGCGCCTATAGGGCCGATAGGGCGTATATAGGGTTTAGGGCTTACATGGTTCATACACTTGCGGGTTCAGGGTTAAAGATCTAGAGTTATAGGTTTTGCTATGTATAGGATATATAGGGTTGAGAGGGTTTATAGGACTTCATAGAGGGTCTATATAGGGTTCAAGGATCGTGCGTGCAAGGCGAAGTGGAACAGTAAACGAGAAGGACACGAACCAGCACAAACATGCGTACACAAGCTCACCCATAAGAGCGGTTGCATGTGTAATGTATGTGTGTACATACATACAAACATACATACATACATGCATGCATACATACATACATACACACACATACATACATACATACATACATACATACATACATACAAGTATGTATATGCACATATATATATATACATATATATATATATATATAAACAGAGAGAGAGAGAGAGAGAGAGAGAGAGAGAGAGAGAGAGAGAGCACAGTGCTACCACTGATCAATATGCTGTAACGACTCTTCGAACCCAATTCCATTGTTATTGCTCTAGTGTAGGTTTTAAGTCTCAAACCGCACTGCCACTCATCTTCAGTTGATTGGGCATCATCCTAAACTCGAAGACTGTGCAGCTCCAGCACTAAGCCCGGAAAGCTGAAACTACCCAAGCCTGAACCCACCAAATTAAAAACAAACATCCTAATTCCGAATCCACAAACCGGGCACCGGGAGAGGACCTAAACAAATGGCACAGGGTTTGGGGGTCCACTGTACTGTAACTAGATATTATTATGTGGGGTATCCCGGCTTCTAGATTAACCTGTGCCCTTAACCTTGCCCCTAACCTTCTTGAGCGAAGACTGCTACAAGTATAGACAAGGCATTTCCGCAACTCCCAAAACCGCATGGCATGCCTTCCCAAGGCAAGTCTCGCCCAGCGCCTCACAGACTGTCAAACATTGACAACCTAAAGAAGAAGCAGCTGGAGGGGCTGAGAAGTAGCATCGCGAGGAAGCGCTCTACGACAGGGCTGAGAACCACAGGAACTCCACGACGGGAGTTTCTGCTGAGTTTAGCTGGCCGTATATTGAGCGACACTTAGCCGATTCAATTGTCGGTAGTTCCACCCCGTCACAGGAGAATCCATGTGTTCGCCTTTGATTCATGGACATTACCGACGGACATGGGGTTTCAGGGCGCGAATCGACAAACCCAGAGCAGGAACGCCTCGCTGCTGCTCCTGCCTTAATAATTAGAATAGGCTTTGGGGGCCCAGTATACTATGACTATATTGAGGAACCCCGAAAATAGTATTGGTAATTATTTAGGCCCCTCTATTGTGCGACGTTCAAGAATTGTTGTTCAAGTCTGGGCTGCAACATCCTAACCCTAAACCCTTAAACCCTATATAAAGCCTAAACCTGAAGCCCTTCTCTCCATGGGAGCTTGAAGTTTAGATGTTGTCAAGCCTGCATCAACATTCCCCTCATACAGACCCTGCCTTGTAACATCCAAACCCACAGCTCCAGACCTTCCGCCCAAACTAAGCACTATTTGTCTTCGGGGCTGAATACCCTAGCCCAATAAAGGTTAACCCTTTTTATACATGGTAGGATTACAGAAATTCCCCAAAAGGTTACGGTTATGTACTCACAAAGTAGCTACGAGTTGTATACTTGGAGCACTAGGGCTTATTCCTAAAATCAGAAGCTCCGCTGCAACAGCCATGAAACATGACCGCAAACTCACTACACCCATTTTATACCCCTTAGACACTTTAAGCCGCGAAGGCAGCTTTGATGCAATAAGCAACATCCAGAGCAATGGTATGGGCTGCGGGTTTTTGTGTTAGTGGAGCGACATGTGCCAGGTTTTTGAAGGCATCAGAGTTTTGACATCGTATATGCTTAGCATGTTTGTCATGGACAGACTAGGACTGGAAGCATGGAAGTACACTACCTGAGGATGAGGGTGAATTTCGAATTCTAAAAAGGATTAAACTCAAATTTAATCCGAATTAAATTTGAAATTCAACCATATTCCACTACCTTATAAGGGGGTTGCCAAAAATAGAGGACCCTAATACCCCAAAGGGTCCTATGTACTGTTATGGGGGATACCTCCCTAAGTCACATTGTAACTCCTACCTGTAGTCTCCATTGTAGTTCCTTTTTTTGGTTGACCAGCTTTATGGTTAGGATCCTATATTAGAGATTTTGGCTAACCAAAAAAAGGAACTACAATGGAGACTATAGGTAATATGGAAACCCCACATTCTACTATATCAGTACATAGGACCCTTTGGGTACAGCACCCAGAGCAGGATCCTTATTATAAGGGCCCCAGAAAGTTGGAACATCGATTTAGGATGATTCATGCTGGGATTCCCTCAAACTTTACTTTATGGGCATGAGGATAATGATGTTCCAACTTTCTGGCTTCTACTGTATAAGGACCCCAAAATAAGGTTGTTCCTGATTTTCCTATACTGAACTTAGAACCCTAGCAAAAATTAGAATTTTAGCTGTTTCTTAGGGATTATAATCGCCAAGAATTAAACGTTGTTTCTAAGTACCCCTAAGTTTCGGAAACTGCCATATGAAGGTCAAGTGTAGATCCGAAAGAGCACCAGCAGCCTGCCTCTTCCCGAAGCAGGGATTTAGAATTTTTGTTAAAGGGTTTAGTAATGCAAGTTACCATGACATTAGATCTCTGTTATGGCCACTTCAAGTAAACTCCTCTCCTTAACCAGAACCCAGATTTAAGTTTCGGGTTGAGGAGGTCGAGGGTTGACAGGGCGTTAAAGCTGATGAGCCCACGTGTCCCACCACCCGAAATCCCTGAAACATGCATCGTGGCATCGCGCTTTCTTCAAACTGCTCCGCGGGTCCTTTGCGTTCGGCACAGAAGGCCGTTCTCTAAAGCTCTATACTAATAACTAATAATGGTTGAAGCAGGAGGCAGTTTCAATCGTCTACACGTCTATGTCAGAGATCTAGAAACAGTCAGCCTGGCAGCATCATCCCAAACTTACTTTTAGGGCTTGAAGGTTCTGGTTTAGGGTTTAGGGTTTAGGGTTAGGGTCAACTGTCGGGTGCGAAACCATCACAAGTTATCCCAGGCACATCTAGTCGGTCCTTCGCACATCCTGGACTGGAAGTTGCACAGGATGACTAAGGTTTGGCATCAGCGGGAGGGAGTTGCACAGAAGCCCATGCTACATAGCACTCTACGAATCAGTATCCGCTTATATCTCCGCTGCTCACTAAAACCTTGCAGCTTGCGGGAAGGTGGATGATATAAATCCTGCATTACCTTAAGGACCCTAAACTATGGGAATTGTGGTATATTCCTTATTATCTGTAATGCAGGATTTATATCATCAACCGGAGCACGAAGGGGCGAAGGTCGAGCAAGGAGCTTGTCAAGCGGATGGTGTTGCGGCTTCAGTGTTTACCTATACCTGGACCCTCAACGTATGTAGAATAATAGCCTTTTTTAAGGTTGGGGCCATGATTTTACCTACTTGTGGGGGGTCTAGGTAGTCTCCATTGTAGTTCCTTTTTTGGTTCACCAGTTTTACGGCTAGGATCCTATAATAGAGATTTTGCCAACCAAAAAAAATTTAAAAAAGGAACTACAGTGGAGACTATAGGTGGGCTTAGGGTTTAGGGCTTCGATGGCCGAAGGGTTTAGTTTTTCGACGATTGAAGCAGTGGGAGGTTGTAAAGAATCGGAGGGATCCCTAGCGGAACGAGCCCCGGCCAAAGTCTGCATCTCAAGCAAGGACCTGACTAAGCACACACCCTGAGCAAACCCATGCAAGAACACTAGGCCCGACACCCTACAGCAAGATCACAAAACCATTGACCGTGGGCTCAATCGTGCGAACCTCAAACCTTCTCAGGTTTCCCTGTGGTTACGACTCGTTACGAGGACTAAACAAAATCAAACCCCCCCTCGCAAATTAGGGACCTGAATTCCAAAATCCAGGAATTAGGGACTGAGGCTTCTTTCAAGAGACGGGGATTCTGCTACACAATCCCGAGAGTTGGCTTTGAGATTCAAGAGTCCAACTGCCAGTCTGCTCATGTTCTCCGATAAATCATTCGAGACACGCTCGAGCTAAGACTAAGACATCTGTCATAGGGCCTTCGAAAAGGGACACCGGAAAGGGATCGCCGAACAAAACCTCAAGGGATGCGTGGGTGCCTAATTATACTGCCGGCTTTAAACTCTAAGCCCGAAATTCATTAAATTCATGAGGTTTCGGTTTTATAGTTTAGGACTGTATTG